TTCCAAAAGGAAATACTTACTGGAGGTTCTTAGGTGTTACATTGCCATCTGTTATTCGCTTTGTATTGTCAGCATTAACTTTAAAATTTTTGTAGCCAGTTGGACCTTGTGACGATTCATCGTCAGTTGAATCTTTTAACGATTCATCTAAAATTGGATCTTTTAACGATTCATCGTCAGTTGAATCTTGTAACGATTCATCGAAAATTGGATTTTCTGGTAATTTTTTTCCTTTTGGAAGTTCATTCTTTGAAAGTTCATTGTTTAAAGACTTATTGTCTGAAGTTTGTTCGTCAGTTTTAACTTGCAATGAAGGGAGAACGAGAAAGGCAACGAATGCTGTGAGAAATAAAAGTCTTCGAGCGTTCATTGAGGTGGACAGATTGGTGAAAAATTTGCCTTCATTTTATAGACTGTTTTGCACCGTAAATTTTGCATCCAATAAGAATATAGTGTTAAATAATTGTCCATTTGAACAATTAAAATCTTGAAATTTAATTATCAAGCATATATTTCCAAAAAATACCCTGCAATCTCTTATCGAGTGGATATCCTTGTGATTAGGACTTGTGTCTATGGCGAGTCAAGAAGCAGTCTGTCGCAAAACAATTCGTCTTGTAGAATATAATACAAATCTCAGGTTATCTTTCTGTTTATTGCGGTCCGCCATTGGTCAACGATGCCAAATATAGAAAACCGGGCTACATGGCAAAGTTTTTATTAATCCGATAGGCAAAAGACTGCATGTGGGTTCTATTTTACTGGCTTGTTTTTAAATTGCATTGGCGCAAACCAGCTAATTGGCCATATTCTGGATTTCTTGATTGGGCCGGTAGTTCCATTCAATGCAATTTTATAAGCTTACAGAAAGTCTCTTAGCTTGGCGACACTCATTCAATTAAACTCGAATAAATAATTTTGGATTTGGAGAGGCCTAAAATACATTCCAGCTAAAAAGGGGAGTATTATGGATAGCGCAGCGGTAGCTCGGGCCCCAAGCTATGGACGGGAAGGACATTTGTTACCGCGGTAAGCTTCCAAACGCACTGAATCGAACTTGATGCCCAAATAACGCCAAGAAATTTATTACACTTTTACTCGATCCCGAAGCCGAGAATATTTTCGAGAGATTTATCCAGCCTTTTCTTGAGCATTTCCATCGAATTGTACGATGGAAGGTCCAATCTATTAAAGCAGGTGTGCGAGACAGGCAAGTGTGATGGCGGGGAGAGAGTCTTTTCGATGGTGAATTTCCTGGGCCCATCTGAGCCTTGAAGATCCCTGAATCCGTTGAGCGGGAGTTTTGAGGATCCCGTGACAAACTGCAGCAAACGGATTTTTTTTTCAGCAGGATAACTATGTACAACCTTCCAAAACCATATAATCAGCGGGTCTGATTCGGTACAGTTTTTATAGATGGTGTTCTCCTTCCAATCGGAAATATCGATTTGGGTGACGCCCGAAATAAGCAGCTAAATGATAAACAATGCACCGCATACTTCCAATTCGCGCGCATCAAATATGGAGATCAACTCGCGGGGAACAATCTCATAAAATCCTCGGTTAATTTGGTGCATTTGCTCTGAAATCCGTTTGTAAGTTTTCCATTCCACAAGCTTTCTAAGTTAATTTAGCAATAAAAGGGGGCAGCCGCTTACTCGATGTACAGTCTTTTGTTGTCGTCGGTCACAGATATGGATGAGCCGTTTGGAATCAGGTCGACTATGATGGGATCGCCGCCCCCAAAGCGTACCTCCTCTACACTCATTGTCTCGAAAATCTGGTCGTGAATAGGATTGTTGAGCATCCAAATGAGACTTGAATACAGTTCCGAATCTATGGCCTCGAGGTCCGAAAGCATGGTACACGCAGCCCTATCCAATAACCGCTTGTAAAATGCAGGCACAAAATAAGCATCGATGAGGAACCCATGAAATGCGGCCAAGCCCAAAATTCGGCCGACAAAGTAGAAATAGGCCATGTGTTCGGGATTGATATAAGATCCCGGGCTTATTTGAAGCGTGTAGTTGTCTTGAGAGGAGTATTCAAATAGAGAATAATAGGGGTTGAAGATCTCTTTTGCCAGGAGGAAAAAGAATTCTCTCGATATTCCGCCATAATCGAGCCCCTCTTCGCCCTCAAAAATGATCTGCGGTTTTTTTTTCAATGACGAAAGCGTAAGATTGGAGATGACGTTGAAGGAATCTTCCAAAAGATTGTCTCTTCTAATGGGAACCTTGAAATATCCGCTCAAACTGAGTTCATAAGTCTTTGCCCTGAAATATGCCATTTTGCGATTAAAGTCTCGCTTATACTTTGGAATTGAAGGGCTAGGGAGGTGATGGTGGGTCCATTGAAACTTACTCATTTAAAGGAGACAGCCTTGGATCATCCCATGTGGTGACCTTTGTTTGGTGGTTTATAAAATAAGACCGACCGTGATCATCGACCCTCATCTCCCAGTTCGGTGGGAGCTGACCGAGTTGAGAAATGGCCACTCGCACCTCGGAATGTGGATCTCCTTGAGCAATGCAGGACAACGCTCCGCTAAAAGATCAGCATCAACAAAAAGGCAATTACCCGATGTTCAAGTTGACAAGAGATCGAGGGTCTACCCAAGTGGTGGTACGCGAGTTATGATCAACAAAATACGGACGGCCGTTGGTTGTCATTCTTCGTTCTATCATGAAATTACGACAACATTTTACCCCAGCCCATGGGAAGAGGTGTGGACTGCGATGGCGGGATCAACTGCATTGGCTGGCCATCGCAGACGTCCCCATAATTGCCGTCTTCGCCATGAGCGAGAAACTCTTGGCCTCGTAGTTGCAAGTTATGGAATTCTTGTTCAAGAGCCTTTGTCGGTGCTCGAGTAGGCTTCAAAGGCGGTCTGATGTCAGCCAAAGTGGTGGATGTGCTTTTTGCTAAAAGAGACGATGATGAAGGAGGGGTCCACGAAGTTGTCCTGGTATTGTGATCAACATAGTAAACTTTTCCCAAATGATTTCTTCGAGATTCCCATCCTGGAGGAAGCCGGATGTTGGGATCTGACGATCTTGGAGTCAAAGTAACCGGCCCGCCCCCGATATCCTGCACAAACATCCTGCTTGGTGAAGAAGGCTCGGACAAATATATTATCGGTGAATGCCCACCATTCCCGGTTAGATCGGAGGAAATCAGTATGGAAAGATGCCCCCTTATGCGTTTTCTAGTGTTTGTTGAAGGTCGAAGTGCAATATCGAACGATCTTGAGCACGAGGGGCGCAGAAAAATGTCCTTAAGAATGTCATTTATCGAGACGTTAACTACCCCCATAAACCCTTGATCATCTGTGAGGGAAAATCTTTTGCGATCAAAGATTTGGATCGATATGATGGAGCTTAATTGAACGGACCGTCTAGAGGGTCAGCAATAGAACACGTGTACATTATCACAGAATAGTCCCACGTTGGCGATGTGGTGGCAGTTTTTGGCGGATCGCAGGTCCAGGGACAGCTACTATCGCATGTCATGATGAGAAACGGCTCCGGCATTCCTATTGATTAACAGAGCCTGCCTGGTTTACTAAAAAGACCAAAGATCCCTCTTCTGGGCAGTCCATAGGCGCGAATGACTAGGTAGGGTGAAATCGCAAACCTTCAGAGGTACCTGTAACTCGAAGATCCCTTGCGGCGCTTGCAACGGTAGTGATGGCTGCACATGATGCGGCCTCATTAATGGAAAATGTCTCAGACATGCATTAAAATGAAAACAATTTAGCAATTCAGCCTTTTATTTGGGACTTTTTCCGTGGCACATGGCAATCCGATTTCAAAAAGAAATCGGTATACCGGATTCGCTGCGTTTCTCCCTCCTTGTATTTTACCTTAATATCATACTTTCCAGACTCAATAATGGTGGCCGGGTAAAACTCTGTAGTCATGTACTTGTAAGACGGCGCCTCTGCATCGACAATCGTTAAAGGGTCCACCAACAACTCGTCATTAAACAAGGCATATATTGACTGGCTGGGAAACGTGCTTTTCGGCTCATATTTTTTCCTCAAGAAATCGATCATATATTCGGGCGGGCATTCGTAGCTAACGGCGGTGTCCGAGATATCATTTACAACATAAACGTTTCTTTCCTCGTTAAAGTCAACGACGTTAACGAGAAAAAATCCAAACTTCTCATCTGGCTTGATATACGCAGCTACGGTACGGCCGACAAGGTGCTTTTTTGGAGGCGAACATTTCTAACACGTAAATTGACAAAACGATACGTTGTCGTGGTCGGGTGCACTTTGGCGCTCACATGTGGTGTGTTGAAAATTTTTATCGATTCCGTGCTCTTTTTGCGAGCAGATGCTTATGGAGGCGCTTTGAAAATGTTGCTCCTGATTTTGATCTAGTAAATTGATGCTTGATGTGCAGATCGTTTGTTGTGGAATGAACGCCCGAATTATTTTTGTTGTTTCCTCGACGAGATCCATTAGTAGCTCCCTTGGAGGCGGGCAATTGTCGCTTCTGCGATGAAAATGCTACTATTAAACCTTGCTGTCAATTCGTTTTCAAAGTATGCCGAGGCCAATTCAGGTATAACTTTGCGTCCTCTAATGAGCTTTTCATGGATATATATTACAGAGAGGGGAAAGGCCGTTAGAAATGCCTCGATGGCCTTGTTATTATCGGCCTACAGGAAATATTAATATGCAAGTACATGTGGAGGCATGTTTAAAAGCGACATGATCTCTTCAACGAGCCTGGAAAAATTTTCCGTCAAGCACGAGCAGAACTTTTCAATAACGTCATCGTGGCTAGACATTCCCATAGGAAGAATTTAAATAAATTTAAAAGCCGCAATTTATTGTAAAGATTCCAGGCAGCAATTGGCAGCAATGTGTGCCGTATGTGCTGAAATAGACCAGAAAGGACTGATGGGAACAGCATTGCCCAAAGGTATTTTGACAATACAGAATACATAGGAATTAATCCAGGCTTTCCAATCGTGGGTACAGTGACGCTTGGAGCAACGATTGAGCAATAAATTGACCAAACACAAATGGGTGTTCCCTCTTGTCCAATGTAGCAAATTGGGGTCAAAATTACAATTTAAACCAAATTAACAATTGCGATTTTGTAAAATCAATGGTCAGGGAAAGTGATCCTTCTTTAATATTTTCTCCCATCAAAATACATTCTCATGTGGGAAGTAGCGAGGCAAGCACGGTTGAGGGGGATATACTTTTTCGTTCTGCAAATTGTTCCTCGGATATGTTGGGGAAAAGGCCGAGCACTCCTACAGAGAGAATTTTGTCTTTGGACTTTCAAGATAAATGTCTTATGAATGCTGTTGATTATAGACCATTATCGCCATCGGCATCGGCATCGATATCGATATTTCCTTCTCCCCCCTCTCCAATCGGCTATAAAGAAACCCGAACTGCATTTATTTCGGCCAAAAAAGTCAATATCGAAGCATTAAACGAAAGTTCTCAACCATCTTGCACACTTGCCAAAAAGGGGGCGTCAAATGGGACTGAAAAGGCTCAAAATTCACGCGCGACATTACGTCCATACCCAACGCTGAAAAAGCAATCTTCTAGATTATCAGCAGATCGTGTCTCAGCTAGCAAAGACGATTTGCCTATCAAAGCATTTAAAGCGATTCCTGTACCCAAAGGCATTTACAATGCACCCCCGAGAGGAATTCCTGCAAAGGTAGTTCGGCCGTCAACGGTTCCAAAGTCTCCCCAATTTTTGTCTCGAAAAAAACCCCTGAATATTAATGAAAGACCTGCCGATACGCAAGCCTGCGCAACAGAGGCGGTCTGTTTAAGACCGTCACGCCCTCGTGCAATTGACCATGGTAGCGTGGCGAAAAAAAATACAAAAGAGCCGGCTACATCATGCCGTTCACTTGAGATGCCTGGCTTCATATTTAAAGCAAAGCCGGCACCAAAGGTTGCCCCGTTTGTACCCAAAAAATCGACAAAGCCCTTAACTGTGGGTATTGCGCCTCAATTTTTGACCGAACTAAAAAAACATTCGACCCCTACTTTGAGATCCTCGGCCTCTTCAACGTCGAGATCGTCCTTTGAATCATATTCAAAGGCATCGACCGAAAGGAAACACTCGGATGTGACCCGGCCAGTTTCAATTAAATTTTTTACCGAGGAGCGGGCTTCGATTAGGCAGAACACAAAGCTATCGATAGAAGAAGCCCCAGCATCCGCCCAAAGGAAGAAGATCCAAAGAATATGCTAGCCATTTTGTAAATCTGATTTTGTATTTATGAAATTAGTAAGCGGCCCGTGGTGTCGACATGTACACACTCATATGGAGACCGAAAAAGTATAGTCATATTCGATGGTTGGGATTACTGTAGATATAAATTTTAAAAATAATATCAAGTAGCTAGGGGTTGCATTAGTGAACAGCACCACTACCTTTCGCTTGGAAACGGAACAGAACTGCCAGCGCCAGCTGTGCCTTTAAGCATCTTGATCATCGAACACATGACAGAGGCATGTCTACATGGGTGGATAGATGCTGTTGACAGCGGCAGAAAGGGATGCGACTCAATTGTCACCGTTTTCCTCGCATGCTCAGCAGAAATGTCCTCGTAAATCTGACTGTGCGACAGTGGCGAGTCGTCCTTTATGTTGGTGGTACGGCAAAGTTACCTCGTCATAGCCGAACAGCCACACCCTTGGGACCTGATAAAACTTGTCATAAGTGATTGTGATGTCGTATTTGCGGCACGGTCTTATGTGATCGGCGCCGGTTTCAACATACCGGTCCTACTGGATTAGTGGGCCAAAAACATACGGGATCGTTGTCAATAATCGCCTCTTCTGAGGAAATGGAAGTAAACTCTGCTTCTGCGGGCTGCTGGTCCTCCTTTGTGTTGGACGACGACGCCGAGGCTCTTGAAAGGCACAGGACCCTTTTTGCCATCAAATACTGCTTGTCTGGAGGCAAATAGGAAACGCCATTGACTTTATGGCCTAATGGCCAGGAGATCGGCAGGGAAGAGGCCTTGTGCGATGGCATCGGCACGCCTTGCCACGACCATGATAGGAACTTTTGGGTCAGATTGTCCCCGGAAGCGATGAACTAAAAAGATATGCCGCCAATGGTACCTCCTCCGGCGTGATTCGTCCTGTTTCAATAATCGATTCCTTGAGCAATGGGACAAAGATCTCGCCGACTCTGGAAATCAGATTTGTATTTAGCATTGAGGAAAAAATTAAATCTGCACAATGCTCTGCATTGGTGGCGAGGTTTATCAATTTGACAACTTATCATTGGATGGCTTCTGAAGGGCGGAAATACAATTTTGTCGATTTGCAATTAAAAGTAAAATATGGCGGGATGCCGTGGAAATAAAATTATTTTTCCATTCATGCTTCAAGAAAATAGAACGTCAAATTTCAACGTCTTCCAGCGGCACAACGCAGATAAGGACGCAAAGGGATTGAACGTGCATTGTGGCGGACCCCTATCCTCGTCCTCTGCTGCGACTCAATTTCCGTTTGCAAGCAGACTGGAGTCGCTGGATTCCAAATACCGCTACCACGAACACAAGTCTGAATTTGACACGCCAAAAATCACATCCAAAATCCGATCTTTCCAAAGAAACCTGAATGGCTTTACCCCGATTTCGTCAAACACAAAGAACAGCGGATCTGTGCTCATCGGCCAAGATGGCGATTCCAACGGCTTTGTTCGAAAGCATCCAGCCGCCTTTGCATCAACTTCAAATCCAGCCGCCTTTGCATCAACTTCGAATCCAGCCGCCTTTGCATCAACTTCAAATCCAGCCGCCTTTGCATCAACTTCGAATCCAGCCGCCTTTCCATCAACTTCGAATCCAGCAGCCTTTGCGTCAACTTCGAATCCAGCCGCCTTTGCATCAACTTCGAATCCAGCAGCCCAATTTTCATTTTTGAAAAGGCCAGACGACAACCAGGAAAGAGGGTCGTACGCGCAACCGCCCAGCAAGCTTGATATCATTCAAGGGCTTCGCCCTCAAACGGAGAAACGCGAGGCTGCAATTTCGGAATACGAACGTCGAATTGGCCACAAAATCAATCGAAGAGTTGCACTTACAATCCTGCCGCTGTTTTGCATTGTTTATGCGGTTTCCGTATTTTTCGACTTGTTTTTTGCAACGCTTTACGAGCGAAAATGTAGGCTGCGTTGCATTTTCTTACACGATAGCGCTTTTTTACGTCATTTTTGGGTTGAGTCTGAATTTCCAAAGGTTGCTGAGGTGCTTTGCAATCACATTCCCGCTGTTTGCCTACAAAAAGATATTTTACGGCACAGATCTTTCCCACGCTTCAATACAGTTTCCGCTGCTCACAAAATACCTGCTGATGGGTGCGGTCTACGCATTGTCCTCAATGGTGTGTTTCTTCAGCTTTTTCAGCCGAACGATGACTTATGTTGTGTCTTCAGACCTGCAGTATTTTCCAATTTTAAAGTGTAGTTTCGTTGTCAACTTCAGGCCTGTTTTTCTATTCGGATACTCCCTGGCGTTTGCCGTGTATAGAACGCTGCTTTTTGTTGCGCGAAGAGAATCCGTACTGATATATCAATGGTACCCCGCCTCATTTCGTTGGGTTTCCATCAATCATTGTATTTATTTGATGTGCATATTTAGCCTTCTGTTTGTGCTGTTCCACAAGCTATACGTGGGATTGTTGTTCTTTGTTCTTCGTATTTTTGTCGAGTAAGTGCAGTGTGCTGACGAGCCTAGTGTCCAAATGATGTCGCTCAGAGCACTCTCCATCTCGGACGTGTTTTTCATGTTTGTGGTGCTGTTGTATTCGTACATGGTGGAAAATCTTTGGTCCTTTGACTATTTTCTCGTTTTGAAAGAAATGACCTGCGTACGTGCATGTTGGTCGCTTATGTGTTTAGAACCCACGCGTCGTTGAGATGATGCCGCGAGGCGTCATCAATGCAATTGGCGGCCTGGAGAGCTCTCATACGCATTTGCGAATGCTCGCCTACATAGACATAATTAATGCCTTTGGCCGGTCCGAGGCGCAGAGGACCCATTTGTGGGAAGATATCGACACCACGCCGACGGCCTGGGATTCCATTCGAAACGCATGTGCCAAGGTGTTGCGAGAGTGGGTTTCGCTTTTGTCAAAGTCGCAACATCAATTGGTAGCTTTTGAAAAAGGTTCGCAATTTGCTGTGACCGCGTAGACATCGTTTCCAACCAGGATGATTCGATCTGGCTGAACATCAAGGGCGTGCCCGAGATAGCAATGGTCTGCGAAGCCCTGTTTCGCTCGTCATTGTTCTACTCCGAATATGAACAGGTGCTTCTTGCCCTTGAGCGTAAGCATGCCCGATGTTTATTCCGTTTTCCATGTAGTGACTCGATTGATCATTCTTTTCTCCTACGAAGAGGACCGGTATGGACTCATCCAAAGCGATCTGGTAGAAATGGTAAAGCTGTATTTGGACATTGTTTTCGAAATCGAGTCGTTCAACGAATCGGTCCCTGCAAGACCAAACAAATGGGCAGAGCTTATTCTAGATGCAACTGTTAAATCAAGCGGGTCTTATTACGGGACAATCGACCCCACCAGCAGTGTTCTGGTTGAATGTGTCAATACGATCCATGAAATGTACCGTGTTTTCGACAAGGATTTGCTTGACCTGGAATTGCCGCTCCGATACAAAAATAAGATCACCTCGATACTGGCTGCCGAGGATGGCTGTGATCGCGGATAATAAAGCTGTTTGTTTTTAACGAATAAATGTGAATTTGTTGTGCACGCATGCATCCAGTACTTTGGGCGCATCCGCTTGCACCTGTCGTGTATGTGGGCTAACGAAGGCAACCGTTGCACTATGTAAAGGCGGCTCGTTAAAAACCGACCGTGCCAAACGGGACATCTGCCACGTAGACAATACAGCGAAACCAACAAAAGATGGCAGGGTATTTTTCGTGTTACAATCCAAAGTCGACAAATGTTGTCGAATTCTTGTGTTACATGATGGCGTTGATGCCCAGACTGTCCTTTGGCCCCGTTTTTGCACCGCGATGAATTGGCTCGTTTATTCTCGTGTGGTGCCACTCTTGCAACGGCCAATACGAGTCTAAAAAAGCCATCAGACGAAAACAGGCTATGCTTTGGTTTGCACAAAGATACGTTTGCATTGGCATCCAGCGTGTTTTATTTACGATATACTTTTTTTGGCTTTGGCGACTACAATAACGAACGATAAGCCATACAATTGAAATCAGCAGCCGGTCTCTTAAAAACGAACTTTCCCTTTTAATTCTGTCGATCTCTTCTTTTAGCTGCGTTCGTTTGATTTCGCCTAAAAAGTTAGAGCGGGTCGAGCGATGTACGGATATCTTCAATCCCCTTAATTGCAGAATGGATATTCCCTTCAATCGACCGCGCAGTGGAATCGGATTTTTCAATGCTCTCCGATATGAAATTCTATAAAGGATGAGGAAGCGATATTTATGCAAACAGAAGAACGCTGCAACTCCATCCTCGCCGTGTTGATGATGGCATCAATTTGACACTTTTGCCCTTCAAAGTGCACTTTTGCTTCCGCTAGCTTCGCATCTCTATGAGAAAGGTATGGATCTGTACATTGATTTTTCCAAATCCTGTAAATGCTCATTGACGGCTTCAATTGTTTGAGCGAGCGCGTCATTGATTTGCTGTTCAATTGCCCGTTTTTGAAGCGAAGTTCGCCGCAAAAGCTTTTTTTGCATTGACTTGTAAAAAGCCTCGAGCTCGTCATCCAAGTCTGCAGGTTCGCTTGAAGACTTGTCTATATTCGATTGCGAGGATGGAAGTGTCAGAATGGCAGACGGTTTCGGTTCCCTTTCACACGTTAGTGTGGATATGTTGAGTGGAATGCACTTATTGTGACGTGAGGGGGCCCTCCCCTTCTTTGTTCGCACGCCAGACGCCATCTTACAGATAAAATTACGCGAGAATTGATGCAAATATGCTGATCTTTACCGATTGATGCGCGGCAGCTTTTTACACCGGTGCATGATTGCATTGTATGGGCAATGCATGCCACAATTAGATGGCAAGCCCGGTCAAATTGAAAACGGGCACCATTGCACGACAGGCCATTGCATCAAGTCAAGTTTTATTTCAACTTGCATAATTTTGAAAATTTTGATGCCATTTTGGAGGTCGCCACTGAGGACGCATTTGGATGCACGGAGATGGATCATCAGATACATGTCAACCAATCAGTCTTCATTCCCAAAAAAGTATCCGCAATATGACGCGCCCGAAAATACGGAAACATATCGGAGCAGCAACCGCCATCCCAAGCCGCTTCAGAAAGACCCTCTGAAAGAGCCCAGTTTTGCCTTGGGAGACCAAGGGCTTGTGTTTGCAAACAAGAAGGCAGGATACCCTACCAATTCACCCGACACCACATATCGATCGGCATCAAAACACTCGCAAAGTACATATAAAATGCCGCTTGGCGAGTTTTCACACAAACAGCCATGTGTTGTAGATTCTCCTCAGCCAAAAAAGACGTCGAGGTATCTTTCTTACTGCGATCTACCAAACAGTGCATCTGAAAATTATGCTCCTACTTCTAATACGCAAAATACAACCCCATCTTCAACTGCGTCTGATTTATCTCCAAGTGCATCGACCAGCGAAGAACATTGGGCGCCTACAAGCAGCAAAAATAAACTGCAAACTAAAGAGAAAAACAACCTCGCAATAAAAGAAAAAGAAAAAGGCCCTTTTGACAGCAAGTGTGTTCTTGAGAAGCCTATTGATGGCACACCACATACTGGGGGCTCAATAGATGGTGAGACTAATCCGATCGACCCGGTCAACGTTAATGCAGAGGTAGGTCTTTTCTTTGATAATCCTGTCAAAGCCACAGGCAACCATATAACAGACTTTGGAGAGTTGTTCCGCAGCGTTATTGGGATTGATCCGTTGACATGGGAGGTTTATTGTTTAAAGCTAGAAACCCCAGAGCTGATAGGATGCACTGAGCACCTATTCAATGGCCTGTCGAAGAATTCAACCCAAATGCTCGCTTTACAACCTTCACCGTCATTTGTGTCGCCATCATTCTCGCGAAACTCAGCACATGATCGATCACCAGACAAAAAAAGAGCCTTCTCAATTGCTAAAGACCAGCTAGTTCCTGCCACAAACCCCATCAAAATGTACTTTGATACAAAAAAGCCCTACACGGGCATCGATTTCCCCACTGACTTTATAGAGTCCGTTTCACGGTCTGGCCGCGGGATTTTTGGGATCAATTCCCTTGTATATGCATCCGAAACCCTGTTTCTCGTTCTCAATGATCCACTTTCCGCTATGGTCTTGTTCCAGAAAACCAAAATTCCAGCACTGTCCATTCCTCTTGGGCTTGACGACCCGGTTCAGCTTCGATATCTCGCTTCTCTTCTCTCGCAGGCATTTTCCAAAGTAATTTTTATTTGTAATGGCATACCGAGCCAAATGGATTCTCTTCCATCGCTAGAGCCAATTCAACTGCATTTTTCTTCGCTTTTACAGCGTTGGAGATGCCACATTATTCCTGCTCACGCTGTGTTTAAAACCGTTGAAAACTCAACGCCAATTGCATGCGCAGCATCATCTGCGACTTTAAGCATTGCGTCTGAATCTCGGAGGCTATGGCAGACACTTTCAGTGCTCATGAGAGACGCCAACGGCATCAACACACTACTTGCCTTGGCTATCCCTTTGCCCGCGAAAAATGTCGTTGCATCGTCTGACTACCTTGCACAGGTGCGTCAGGAGTTAGCGCTCGGCACCCAGGCTCTCTGGGGCACACCATTGCTCTGGTCACTTCCGCCACTCACGGACATTATGAAGGGGCTGCGGCCCGGCGAATTGACCGTGCTTACTGGGCCCACAGGGTCCGGAAAAACCACCATTCTTTCTCTGTTTTCTATCGACTGGTGCGAGCAGCAGGTGCCAACACTTTGGGGCTCCTTCGAAATTCCCAACCACCGTATTCTCAAGAAAATGATGGTCCAACGGCGAGGAAAGCAATTTTCTGCGGATCCTCATCAAGCCATTGTGGAACTCGAGGCCGAAGCGGCATACTTTTCCAAGCTTCCGCTGCACTTTATGAATTTCTTTGGTTCTGCTGCGCCATTTTCAGACGTATTGGAAACCATGGCTTGGGCGGTTCAGAACCTCTCCATCAAACACATTATTCTGGACAACCTACAGTTCATGACCTCGGGTCATGGGGGTTCCGGTAGGACACATGCACAGCCTGTCACTTCCTTCACCAAGTTCGACTACCAAGATAGGGTCATTTCCGAGATTCGTCGATTTGCAACCGAAACCAACTGCCATGTCACGCTTGTAATTCATCCCCGCAAGGAGCAGGATAACACTATTCTTGGCATATGTTCCGTCTCCGGAACTGCAAAGGCAACACAGGAAGCCGACAATGTCTTGATCCTTCAAAAAATAGGGCAAAAGCGCACCATCGACGTGAGGAAGAACAGGTTCGATGGTGAACTTGGCCGAGTAATATACACATTCGACCCAAATACTCTAAGGGTAAGCATACTTACAATTGACACATAGATCCATGCTGTCGATGCAGACCATGATGAGGGAGAGTGCACCGAAAACTAATTTATGCGCCATAACTTAACAATAAACAATCAGATCCAGTGCTGCCGTTATCTCTAATGTGCAACTGAGCCGGCTCGATAGCTCCCATAAATACGGCAATTGATCGCTTATATCTAATGCTGGGTTTGGTGCTGCTGTTCTTAGAAGTATCTGTTGCTCCGATAGACGTTTATTGTTGTTTAAATACGGCTGGGATAGAGCATCTACGATGAGCAATAAAACCTTACAATACGACAGGAAGCACCAAAAGCTCTTGGTGGCAGATTTGTGCGAAACTTGGCTTTGACGACGCCAGAGTTTCCATGAGGACGTGTGACCTTTCCCCAGATGACGCGCATGCAGCTCTTCTTTGGCTGACCGTCCTTATTTTTGTTGAGCAGTGAGACACTCTTTCCTGCGATTCTGCGTGCAACCTTTGCGCGATACACAAAGGCAATGCGCTTGCCGAGATAGAAATCGGTGCTCTTCACATCGGTAACGTTGTCGATTGCAAGCAAAGTCTGATTTGGCGATTGGGCGTGCTTTCCTCGTTTGTATCCCAAAATACGGCCCTTGCAATAAAGTCTAGCGGAAATGAGAAAACCCGCACATACCTCGGGCTAGCCTTTGTACTGGTGGTGGATGACATTGGTCTGACGATGGATGTTAAATGAAGAAAAAAAACACCCCACAAAGATCAAGCTTACAAATCGAAACCAGAATTTATGGGGTTAAGTTTAATTTTACCAAAGTTTATTTAATTTAATTTTCGTCATCAAACCATAGTTTTTTCAAATTTACAACATGTTCAAGAGGATGCTTATCATCGGCACCATGGAAATACTTTTTCCTTGACGATGAGAAGAGCAAATGAATTTTTTTCTGCGATCCAGATATCATTAATGTGAAATGCTTGAAAATAGCCCAGCATCTCGTCCCCTGCATTGCTGTACGCCACCGCTCAACATAGGGTAGGAAGAAAACGGTAATGCTCTCCTCCTCGGTGGACATAGAGCCATGATTCTTCAAAGCCATTCCAAGAATAGATACAAGCCTGTTTTCAGGTGTGATGTTGCCAAAGTCGCCCTCGTTAACAGCATAAAGGGTGTAAATGTCCAGTGAGATGATGACTCTAACCAACTTCCCCATTCTCAACGGCATTGCACTGGCCCATGATGAAAGGGTAGCAGATAAATCTGCACCGCTGTCATCATCTGCAAGTACCAGCGCAATTCTGTTGCATAGGATCTCATCAAGGATCCTAAATGCTTTTGAGTGCAGACCCAACTCTGATTGCGCGCTGATGATAGTCGTTTCTGACTCGGCACCCCGCAGCCGTGAAGTCACCACTTTGAGGGCCCGAAGCCAGTCAATTGGCTCTTGTTTGAGCAGCGAAAGGTCGCCACAAGATGCATCTTGAGCGGAGAGCCATGCATCGCCCCCTACTCGCCGCAGCGAGCCGTAAACGGACTCGATGCACAATGCCTACAAAATAAACGGCATCAAATGCCCACTTTGAGTTCCGCAAAGGAAAGGCCCTCCGTCTGGATGACGATGCCGTCAACAAGCCCTTTGTCGATTTCCGACGAATTACAGCGGCTCATTCCGCGCATGATCATCTCTCTTCGCATGGAGGCAGTGGGTAATCCAAAGTAGAGCTCGCGGTCGAAGCGCCCGGGTCTCCGAAGAGCAGGATCAATCGCGTCAATGCGGTTGGTAGCCGCGATGATGACCACATTCCCCCTTGTCTCAAGCCCGTCCATCAATGTCAGCAACATACTTACAAGTGATATATGGCTCTGATCCTGCTTGGCACTCCTCCGTGGAGCAAGCCCATCCATCTCATCGAAAAAGATGATCGAAGGTGCACTCGCCTTTGCTTGCTGAAATAGGCTTCGTAGCCCCTTTTCAGCCTCTCCAATCCATTTTGAGAGCAATTCAGAGCTGGAGCGCGAAAAAAAGGCCACTTTACGCTTGCAATGTGGCGAATTTTCGCTGATCAGCGTTGCAAGTGCGCGCGCAACCATAGTTTTGCCTGTCCCCGGGGGCCCGTGAAACAAAATTCCTTTGGCAGTGCCAATGCCCAACCTCTCAAAAATATGGGGGTACCTACGGAACAGTAAATACAGCGAAATTTTCAACACCAACAAAATAGAACAGCAGCTTTTGAAGCCCAAATCAAGGGAAATAAAAATAAATCTGCTCCATCGCATACACAACATCATGCAATTGATCCAATTGAGATCGATGGTACCTTAGGGGCCAAATGACAAGTTCCTGGAGCGTTGACAGGTGTGTCTCCAACCCGCATATTTCGCCCCATGACACCTGTTCAAAGGTCAAAGGACTATGTGGATGCTTCTCTTTTGCTTTGACATCGCCGATTCGTCTGTCTTCGGCATCCTCTTCAGAGAAGCCGGCCCAATGGGTGCCATTTTTTTGCATCTTTTGCTCCTTAGAAATGCAAAATGGAGAGGAAGAAATTCGATACAATGTCCTCTACATCGGCATCATGATCGACAAAGTTACCTCCTTTTTTCGCAGCCGCGAAGAGCGCCTCCTTCTGCGCAGAATATGGTTAACCTCGGGCCCCGAGAAGATATCATCACCTTTGCCTTCTGAAAAAATCGCACCATCGCCATCAAATCTGCCTCCAGACCCCAACGGTGGTCCGGCCCGGAACCACATTTCCGGCACTCCTGAGGATGAATCTGAAAAAGACAGATTTTCATGTGAATCTGGTATGTCCGTATCAGAAGATCTCGCAAGAAACAAGTCCCTTTTGATACTTTTGCTGCCATCCAGCCTCCCCTTTCGCCCGATTGGTTGAAAATGCGAGGGGCTGCTTTTAATGATGGCTGCCCATTCACGATTGATTTTGTCGGGCAAGAAATTTTCAATCTCACCACGCTCGGCAGAATTTGCGTTCACATCAATGGGTGTCCTGCGAATGTCGCCATTTACCGGTGCATTGATGGTCACCTTCTCATCTCGCATTAAAATACAAATAGAGTTTCCAATTAAAAGTTGTCCGTAAATTTTTGGCAACAAATTTTCGCAACAAATTTTGGCAACTTGTTTTTCTCGCCAATGAGATTTTGCAGTGCATTGGTTGGAATGTTTAGCTAAAGAAATCGGAAGCCCCGCAAAATACGTACGGCGTGACTTTGGAAAAAGAGCTGGAACTGTAGACAGACTCTCGAGATGCTTTTTAGCCTTTTGAACAGAAGTCTCATCTGCGGCATCAAGGAAGGAAAATCTCGGATTTGGAGACCATGTTCTCTGCACTTCCGCGCGATGTTTTTCGTAAACTTTCGGCGATCAAATTCTTCAGCCTAACAAACGAGTCTCAATAGTCAGCTTTGCCTAGTGATAAAAGATCGCAATAAGAAGCCAATCGCTGAGAAAAGAAATCCACGGCATAAACAGCGTCTCAAAAATGTCCCCAGTAATTCAAAATTCAAGACAAGATGCGAAGCTCGTGAGATGGATCTTTGCAAAATTACCAGCGAGTCACTGATGAAAAAGGCAATGTTCGATGACAAAAGCAGGCTATACTCGCTTCCGTCCGTGTCCGACTTTACACTTGCCAGGGGCATGTCTTGAATCCAGTATCGAGCAAGTTTTTTTCGGTCAATGAGCTCTGTTTACACTTGCAAGCTCTTTTTGGTCAATGAGCTCTGTTTACACTCGTAAGTGGTCCATTGGGGGGAAGAAGAGCTCTGCTTGCCAAACAGATCGAAAAAGGTGCCAGATGGTTTGTAGGATTTTTTAATTCGAAACCACTACGCTATGAAAGTGCATGTCGCCTAGCGAAATTCGATACAAATGTTCAAGGCACTTTTTCTCTCTGGTTATAATCGAAACGAGCTTAAAGTGCATCCAAAAAAGATCCTCCATGCATAGCGAAACTCTATAAGAAATATGGGTAGAACACTGGGGATGATAGCCCAGGTGGGAGGTGCACAAATCAAAGATCCCTTCAAGCCCGGACTGAAATGTCTGGGATCTCCCATCGACAATGTGCAGAAATCGGTGTGCCCACACCCAGATGGTACCTTCAGTGTAGTTTGCAAGAGTGACCCAATCTGGATGTAAACATTGGAGCATTGGCTTTCTAAATAAGACTCATTCAAGAAGCTGAAAACCCCCTCTTTCACTTGGACTAACACTTCCAACTCAAGCGTCAGGGTTTGCAGTCAACCGATATTCATGGTGAGGTGTGTAAAAGAGGCAAATTGTACTTTTATTGAAAAATCCCACGTTGGCTGCTTTCATTGAAAAATTCCACGTTGGCTGCTTTCATTGATATACCTGAGCATTAGCCCAGTGACACTGGAGTCTCTTGACGAAAATTGGTATATGCGACCTTCGTATACTAACACCACCATCACCTGGCATGAGCAAAGAGAGCTAAGCTCGTCTGCCTTTTTAAATAGCCCTAGGCGTCTCTTATTAAATGTGATTGATCGGCGCTTTCTTTGTTCGATCGGCTCGATACTTATCCGTCTCCTTCCCATGTCACTAGTTGGCTCTGATTTCGCGGCCAAAATTACAAACAAGGCGGCCGGTGCCCTCCCGCGGTATGATTGGGCAAATGTTGAAACTTGAGTGCACATTACGATTTTGGCAATTTTGTTAATTTTAACCGGCAGCCTTTTTGACTAGCAAATCAATCATACAGCGGCCAAAAGAAGATTTTTTCTCGTTCCTTTAATATTCTTGCTTATTTCTATTCGCTTTTACCTCAAACTCTCCAAATATTCCTCTAAAAGGGCAGCAAATTCACCTATCAAAGGAAAATCAGATACGTTGATCTATGAGCACATTCAGCTTCCAAATGGCCTAAAGACGCTGGTTATTCACGACCATACGGCAGAAACCGTATATTATCATTTTTATGCAGAATAGGCGTCAGCAACCATCTCCTTTAATTTTGGATCTTTCTTGGATCCGCCAGAATATCCAGGATTGGCCCATTTTCTTGAGCATCTACTGTTTATGGGGACAGAAAAATACCGAGATGAAGCAGAATACGTGTCTTTTATATCTGAAAATTCTGGATCGTGCAATGCAGAGACAAGTGGAGAGTATACGCTCTACCACTTTTCCATTAAGGCCGATTTTCTTGAGCCTGCTCTTGATAGATTTTCTCAATTTTTCACGGCACCGCTTTTTTCTGCCTCTTGTGTTGGAAAAGAAATAGATGCCATTGATTCAGAATTTTTGATTCATCGTCAACACGATTTTCAGAGATACCGACATGTGCGTGCTTTCCTAACTAACCTTTCCCACCCGTTCCATAATTTTCTTGTTGCAAACAAGGCCACTTTGACAGGAAAGGATGGTGGAAATATCCGCGATGGTACCTTTTTTTTCCTATAGGGTTAGAGGTCATAAGTTTCTACAGAAATCATTACTCTGCCGATCGTATGAGCCTTGTCGTTGTTGGAAAAGAGCCAATTGCCGATCTTATCAAGCTTGTCAAGGACAAATTTCCAAATGTCCCTGGATCTTTGCAACCATTTGATTGCTATTGGAAACACATATCTCGAGCGGTTGAAGAAAACCTTGGATCCATTATTTGGGTCAAGACTTTGCAATTAACAAGGACGATTGAGTTTGTATGGCAAATCCCAGATCAAATGCCCTTGTACATGTCAAAGCCTGCTAGCTTTCTTGCTGGCATTATTGGACATGACGGCGATGGCGGTTATTTCGATGTTTGGGAAAGATTCTGAAGAAACTCTTGATTCACTTTGCACACATATAGCAAGTTCCGGCAGCCAAGCCCCCATTGCCATCAATGCTACCGACGACGATTTTATTGGCCGCTGGAAAACGGACAACAACAAATTTATCCTCCCCGCTCCAATCTGCAAAATTTGCATTTTCGACACATGTTGCATCGGTTGGTTTTATGTGTACGCATCTTTAATTCCAGCACGCCATGTCCATTGCGGCGTTCGGTGCATCCCCACATATTGGGCGTGGTCTGAAGGTTTGGGCAAAATTTAAAACCATTAAATTGTAAAAACTTGAGTTTGATCTATTGAAAAAATTATTCGGCGAGGGCTGTCGCCAAAATGAATCCCAACGCCGGAAGGAACGACCATCCCAATGTTGGCGTTCTATGCGAAGACGAGCTGTTCATAGACTCATTCGAGGAATTAGTATGTCCAGGCACCACACCACCCCTAAAGCACTTATCCAAAGTTACCAAGCTATATCCCTTTCCCTGGATATAATCGATAATATCTGGCACAGCGTCCACGCTACTTTGGATATAGTCTCTCTGCACGCTGATAAATCCGCCCTTTGTGTTTGGCGACAGCTGATCCAGGACGTTCTTGAATGAGGAAAGAATATCGGTCCCGTTTAACGCGTAATCATACGAATCCAAATTATAAGTGGAAAGTACATACTTTCCCTGGTCCGTAATTGCAGATATCTGGTCATCAGAGAGATTGCTTATCTTTGGCACACGCACAAAATACGGCGGTTCCGGCGAGCCTATGGCCCTTTGTATTGTAGCGGCCCTGTCGGCAAGTAGCGCAAGAAGGTCGTCATTATTGGTGAGCGCGCTCAAGTCCACCTGTTCCTCAATTGAGAATCCAATGAGATGGCCTGAGGAATATGCCCGCTGCAAATTGGCAACAATGGACGGCTCTTGTAGGAAAGAGACCACCGGATGGAACGTCGCCTTGCATTGCTTTGCGTCAAGAGCATCAAGCACGTTCCCAGTATATATGGAGGGCCCTTGGTCAAACGTCATTGCAAAAGACCCTGGCTGGCATATGTTCAGAACTTTTGTGTTTATGTACGCTTCTGTCACTCCGGCCGCTAGCAGCATCAGAAGCGCCAAGGGCGTCCACCATGCACAGCCCCTCACAGTTCTTGTGGCGAGTGTTTCTGTTCTTTTCATCGATCTAGTAATGGCTTTGGCGTGCCCACTAGTTATAGGCGCTGTTGACTGTCTCAATGATGTGTACCATGGACACTTCCCGATTTGGAACTATAAATTTTAAAATTAAATGGAGGAACGACCCTCCTCGTATTGCCAGCCCCGCACCCCTTTGGGTACAGGAGTCTCATTTCCAGGGTCGGGAGTGAGCACACCTAGTACATCCGCCGGAACGCCCATCGGCCCAAATTTTGGAGGCTCTTCGCTGCCTTCAGGACCGGCTCGCTCGTCGCCAACGGCCATCTCAGGCTTTGCATGCTCGCCTGCCGACATGCAGCTCATCGATGCCATTATCACGCATGCTCATGGTGAGCTTGAGCAGCAACCGCTTCCAAAATGCGCATTTTGCGGCAGGCTCTCACTCACCCACAGTTTAAGCATTGCCCATTCAGAAGAGTCTTGCCTGGCCAATGCCGCGTCGCTAGCCTCCAAGCGGATGGTGCCACTGGCCGATGATAGCGCCTTAGAAAAGGAAAAAGTACCGGAACTGAAATTTCCGCAAAAAAAGGGCCCATCTGTTCGTCGCACCAGGAAGAAATTCGCCTCTGCAGGAGCAGAGGAGGACGACGACTTTGCAAATTCAATGATCTCCTCGATCGTTGTTTCGCCAGACGGGCATACGGGCCCTGCACCTAGAAAGAAAAGAAAGACCCCTTCATCTAAAAAGGCGTCTTCAGGCCGAATGCCTGACATCAGCGATCCTTTGACACCGATTATGACCCAGATGCCGAATAAGCCTCATATTCAACAGCAGCATCATCTTGATTATTCGTCGCCATCGGAAATTTCCCTATGGATTCCAATGTTAGCCGATGCATCCCATTTGGTGGCGGCCATGCTTGATGGAAAGGCTGCCTCCTTTTCGCTTCAGCGCCCCCGCATGCAAATGCTGTTGGCAGGAAACCACATGCTGGCAGCAAAGCGAAAAAGAGCACCTATTTTTGTGGACGCTGTTGCACAAGGCCTTGATCACATCATCCGTACCTCGCTTGTGGGTAGGAGACGACTGGCCGCTGCTGCTTCGGCGGCCGCATCGGCCTTGTCATCTGGTAGCGCCCCTCTTTCTTTGACTTCAAAATCTACCCCCCCAAACGCATCGCCCCCAGATGCAAACGCAGGCATTTCGACGGTCAAGAAAAAGCGCAGTGGCCCCGCCACTCGTGGCGCTCGTTTGCATCCCTCTCCTCCTGTGCTGCGCCCTACAGCTACAGCGCTCTCCATGCCTGAGATTTAGTATATGTACAGCACGCTCATAAATACAGGTGGGCACATTCAAGCCACAATCCTATCAGTTTGGTACCACGCGGTACAATACGACAGTGGAGTGTCCAAGTTAGTAAATCAACTCATTAGCTTAGCATGCACAGTACACACTGGCAAGCCTAGATGTGCTCAATAACAGCGTTAAGCGTGCAGTGTTATCGCTTTTGGCCTTCAAAGGATTTATTATAACGTGCTATGGACTCAGTTCTTGTGAGCAGCACGAACGGGCAACGCTCTCGAAAAGCCGTTCAATATCTGGCGATCCGCGGGCAAACGGCTGTTGCCAGAAACGGCACGCAGGGGTTCGGATCAAGTCTACAAACGTAATAAGCAAACCCCAAGGATGCGGGCGCTGCACCACAAGCCGCTCTAGCAATACGCGGGCAATGGTTTCTCGTGCCGCCACAAGGTTGTTAGCAGAGAACCAATTTCGGATCAGCAGCGCACAAAATAGCGTGTGTGGGTTGGGATACCTCAGCTGGTTAGCCACGGCGCTCACCACCAAGTACCGGCCTTCGTCCTCGTTTATGGTGCTCATAGAAGCTGTGGCTGCGAGCAATGCGGTCAGCAGCATTGCTGCACGCGAGCCATCGATGGAGCCGTGGCACCGATCTAGGTCATGGCCGTGCGCGACTATATAAAATACCACCAGGTTGATCCAGACAGGTCTCGGGATCGTTGCAGGTGGCTGTAGCAGCAGCGTCGCAGCATTCGCCGAAATTCGTCCGTGTTCCAATGCCTCATCTAACAAGGTACGTGGTGATGGGGGGACCGGAGACGTTAGAAGGCCAGCAAGTTGCGCCAGAGAAGGCTCCAGAGTGGTAGTATGATGCTGCAGGGAATCTGTCACCAGCGCTTCGATATTGAGCACAGGTGAAAAAGGGTCGAGAAGCTTCAAATTTCGCGGGAAAGCAGAAAGCACAAGATTGCGCAATTGCCAGGCGGCCCCCGGCATCGCAGCAACAAGACGCCAGTGCCGTTGTGCAAGGAATTCTGGGAAATCGTGCAACAACACCACGAACAATCGCAGCAACCCTTCATTGAAGCGTAGGGCGGCTGCACTGACCTCGGAGCTCGACAGGCCGGAAGAAAGCAAATCAGATGACGGCCCGCTGGTTACACATGTGCCGATGCAAATGGTCGCACCTGAAGAGTTAAGAGAAGCACCGACAAGAGTAGACCAAAAGGCCAGAGCATCCAATAGAAGAACAAGAGGTGCATCCGAACTGACACGACATCCTACGTTGCTGATGCCACCATTGGCGAGGATAAGCCGTGGAAGCAGAACTCGATGCGAGAGCATGTCAAGCCAAGCGAAAGCAAGCCCCGGGTAGAGCGTTGGACGACACATGTGCATGCCCTGTGCAAACAGATCGAAAAAAGCAGCGGAGAGTGTGGCATCGCCAAGCTGCCGTTCAGCTCCGTGCCATTCTACAAGCAATGCACCGAGAAGCTCAGCCAAGGTGCGCGCTAATGAACCCCCAGATGCAATGGAACGACAAAGTGCTGCCCAAAAGCGTGCCAAAAGCTCCGTTCGTCCCATGCCTAGCAGTGAATCTGGAGCGAATGTAGACCCCGTCGCAGCATTGGCATGCACTCCGTCCGTGGTGCTGGATTCATTAATGTGCAAGCCAATGCCGTTCGCAAACTGGCCATCTCCGGTGAGGTGCATGTTTTTATCTTCGCCATGAGGCCACATACGCACAACAAAGAGCAAGAGACGAGCAAGGGCGACGGTGCGCGGGGAGCGCCCGCGCTCTACAGTGCCACACCATGCCCAACCCAGTGCACGTTGCCAAAAGAACTCGAAAAGTGCAGGGACGCGAAAATACCCGCGCACTACGGCCTGATTAGCAAAAGAGCACAGCGTTTTGTCTGAAGAAGAGACCGCATCACAAAGCCGTGCCCATTCTTCAAGAAGGGACACAAGACGTAATTCAGCGGTTGCATCTGTGGCTTGTGTGATGGCCTCGCGTCGCCACTCGGCGTCGACAGGATGCATGCCTCCACTGGTGGCTGCTTGTAACGTCGCTTCCCAATCCCACGGCGAAAAAGGTGCCGGGGTAGTTCCACGCGCACGCGCCGATGCTTTTATCAGCGCCAGCGCCCATGAAGATGAGTCCGAGTATGTTCCCAAAGTCGAACCAGAAGTTGGCCCCGATTCTGTGGCAAGACCCGAGTCTATGTGCGTAGCTTTTAACGACGTGAGAGCAGCGCCAAGTGCACAGTCAAAGGCAAGTAGCGAACCAATACCGGATTCAAGAATGGCGATCAGGACCGGGATTGGCGGTAGGGACTCGGTATGTCGTACGTTCGTGGCAAGAGCGAGAACCCAATCACTGACTTGCCGCGCCACGCGCGAAGAGAGTTCGCAAAGTTTGTCTAGCAGCAGCACAAGCGCAGAGCATCTCGTCGATGCCAAGGTAGAGCCCATCTCTAAATTCGGAGAATGAAGTAGCAATGCCCAGAGCCGCTCGGCAAATGCCGCACATGTCTCATCGCGTTGCGGAGCATGAAGTGCGAGCACAAGCACCTGCTTCATGAGCGTTCGTAACGATGCATGTTCTTGTACTGGAGCCCCCCCTGCTGATGGCGGACCTGACTCGCTGCGAGCTGGACGCTCACTTGCGAGTTCGCAAATTTGTGCGACAAGTCCATCAAACTCGCCCAATGCAATTTCGGATGGCGTGTGTGAACCAATGCCATCTGGGCTTGTTGGTTTCCGTGGTTCTTGATCGGAGATCTGAAGCGTTGGAGGGATCGCACCATGCGCCATGCCGAGCATCGCCCCGATGCGTACACGGTCGCCATGTTCAAAGGGCGCAAGCAGTGTACCGGTTTCCGGAAGCACGCCACCATTCCAGCCTCCAAAGGCTTCCAAGACTGCGGAAAGGTTGGCTGCATTGGCAGCCTGACCACGAGCTCCACCAGCCGAATTGTCGATGTTGCTAACACTAGAAGCTGTGAGTGCAGAATTATGGGCTGCAAGTGCGGCCCCAACAACGGCCATGCGTTCAATGATTTCAGCCAGAAGAGGTTGTTCGCTGCTCGACAATATCATCAGCACATCGATGCCCGATGTTTCCTCCACTACAGCAGCAAAGCTTTCTACAAAGCGTACCAACGCCGCTGCAATAGGCTCCCTTAGCGTTGCGCCCGCAAGATGGGCCGCGAGCGAACGCCCCATGCGTCCAGCCGCAAATGATGGCAAAGACATCGATGTTGATGAACCATTGGGTATAGGTGCGGATGCTGGACCGGATATCGATGGATCCATCGTCAATGATGTGGCTGTGACAATACCGACAGTGGCCATGCGTAAGAGCACATCGCGCGTGATAACAGTACGCACGGCGGCCTCCCAAGAAAGCAATAAGACGCCAAGAAGCCCAGGCGCACCTGGTGCCGCAACCTCAAGCTGCAATGCTGTAGCCTTGCGCTCACCACCGGCCGGCGTGTGCAAAATACTCAGGGCCTCGCCCAAGGCGCTTAGAAACGGTCGCCCAATGGTGCTACTCAGGTTTAGTGCTGCTGCTGCTGCAAGCACTGCCGCGTCCATCGATGCTCGTTTCACAGATGTATATGAAGAAGTAGATGGAGGTATCGATGACGATGACGATGATGATGATAAAGAGGAGGTGATCGATGCTGAAGAAGTGCCACTGGTCGTCGCAGTACATCCGGTCACCAGTTCAGCCGCAGGTGATGAGCCGCTGCCGCGCCAAATGTCCAGCGAACGTCGTGGCATCCCCAACAACTTGGCTGCCTCCACAGCCATTGGCAGCGCAGGTGCAACCGCGTTTTCTCGCAGCAAATTTAGCGTACGAAAGAGACCTTCAATCTCAAAGCGCAGATTAAGCCGCAACACACGCTCGCCTTCTGAATAAAGATCAACAAGAAGACCAAGAACCCGCATCAGCCACGGATTGCGCGGTAGCAGTACCTGTGGCGTGGGCGCACGGGCAAGGCCCTCTATTACTCTGCAGATAAAAGGCAATACCAATGGCAGACGGTCCATGTCATGAGCCTCCAGTATCAGCTCAACGACCGGAATGTAGCTGTGTAGCAGTGGCCGTTGAAGCCCTAGCGTCACCAAACCAATCCATGCGCCCAAATTACGCAACAGCATCTCGTCACCTGCTACCGACATCCCGCTCAAGGCGACGATTAGCATACGTGCCTGACATACGGCCACCAACAGCGTCCAATGTAGCAAACAAATAGTTGCCTGTGCGCGCAATTGCTCTACTGATAATACCAGCCGCAAATAGACAAGATGCTGGTTCGGCTCTCCGCCAATTCGCTTGAGCACAAGGTATCGTGCAAGCCAGGAGCCGACAAGTGATTCTTCTTTACCCTGCTCCTGCAGCAAAGCAGCAATTTCGCGCGCCTTTTCTGTCACATTGCTGCTAACGACATTGTTGACGAGAAACAGCAACCGTTCCGCGGGGAGTGGCACTTCTTCATCTTCGCTTTCACAGAGGAGCCATCGCCGTACTCCTGCTGGCAGACGTCCGAGCTCAGCATTCAAACTGCGAGAAGCCCGCTCCCCAAGTGAGATAAATGAAGAGACAAATGTAGCTTGGGGACCGAAGCCGGCAGCAGGGAGTCCCTCAAGAAAGGGCACCAATGCTGCATCTTCACTGCAATCATCGACCAAAGTACCCTGACGCAATCGCTCATAAATGGTGGGAAAGGTCGCGAGTCCCGTCACGCCTCTGATTAGCATTCTGCAGAAGGAAGGCCATCGTGTAGCTGCATCTGGCACGCATTGGGCTAACGCTGTCATTCCAAAGCGCCACAACTTTGACTCTGGTGGCCAGCAAAGCAGTGCTTCAGCGATCATACGTACACCTATGAAAAGCGGTGGGCCATCTAGCAATCCCTGTGCATGCAACAACTGCCCAAAAATGACACCGGTCAATGCAAGCTCTTTCTCTGGATACTTGGAAAAAAAGCGGAACTCATCCAGGAGGTTATGCACCATGCATGAAAAGACCATGCCATCTCGAGGATCCCGAGAACCTCTCAATCGGATCATTGTTTCAAGTACATCTTGCACGGAGGCCTCTTGCGCATATATGCGTTCATAACAAGCATTGGCTTCCGCTTCCACATCTGGCTGAAAGGCAGCCATCTCAAAGTAGGCCGTCACTTGTGATGAGCAGTGTGAGGGTGCTGGCGTAGTAGCCTGGGAATGTGCTGTGCCGCTTAAAGTGGCGATTGGGCCACCACCAGGCGCTGTCGCTAGTGCTAGCCCGTGAGATTGGGCACATGTGGTTTCTGATTGTTGAGGCATGCTACGGCCAACAGCTGGGGAAAACCTCTGAGTCAATTGCGTCCATCTTTCCGCGCATTCGGAGCTCATTAATGGTACAGAAGCTGCAAGCGTTTTAAGCATCAATGAAAGCGCCTCCGAGCTTGGCGGGATAGGTGAGCGGCGAGGAAGAGCTTCACCTAAAGTGATTGCTGGAGCCGCTCCACTCGTCAAGTGCTCATATACATATTCTACCAAGGCCCGCAAGAAGGGTTCTTTGCGGTCACGGACGACCTCCTGCAGCCATTTATCTAGATTCAAGTGTTCGCGACGTGAGGCCAACGCCGCCAAATCAATAGTGAAAGTGTGTGAACGCGCCTCTGAAAGCACGTGTGGAAGCGCTTTCAAATCCTGTGCAATGTCCAATAGGCGCGAAACGCACGATGGATCACGGCGGTGCATCTCGCCCATCACGCCGAGGATGACGGAAGGAGATATCCGCCAAAGCCGCGGAAGAACAATAGAAGCCCCCGGCTGTCCTACAAGAAACCCCCCCGTGAGCTTCGCCAGCAAGTCCCCTACAGGAGTGGCCCAAGCTACACGCAGATGTGCGAGTCCTAGGCACAAAAGCTCTGGGGCTTGCTTTGCGGCAAGCTCCAGCATGGCCCTAGCGTCTTCATAACAGGGCGGCACGTCCAGAAGATGTACTGTTAATTCTAGCAGATCCACAGCATTCCAGGGTTGGTGAAAAAGGTGAAGCAGTGCATTTCTCGTTGATGCTGAAGTAGATGCAGAAGAAGCAGCAGCAGATGCAGAAGAAGGAGATGTGCTGGCAGCCCCAGATGTGGACAATTGAGACTGGGTACCGGACCCCACCATTTCAATGTCCTCGAGCGATAAAAGCCGCCTCCCAGCCGTTTTTATTAGTTCAGAAAAGACAGCCAGCTCTGGAGTGGCCATTAATGCATATCTGAGGAAAGAGAGTTGTCCGGGAGAATTTCCCCAAACCTTTTGGATGAAAAGGTAGCACGGAAACTCCAAAGGCGTTCCTGAGATTCTGGTGGCATAATAAAATGTGCGCACGATCAACTCTACGCCCTTGACATCTTGAAGATAAAACTCTGGATAATCCAAGCATCCAATTATTGCCGTCCAGTTAAGATATGGGAATATCTCCAGAATAACATCCACAAAATCAGTCCAATTCCAGCCCTCAATTAGCGAATTGGAAGATAAGGAGCTGGTGGAGGTGTGTGCTGTCGAGATTGGCGACCCGCCTGGCGCTGTAATCTGCAACTTGCTGGCGCGTTGAGAAAGCGATAGCTGTGCTTGCGTAGCAGCCATCATTCCCAATACTTGGGCAATGTCGGCTTCTTTGATGGTGTTTCCATAATGTGAAGATATTATAGAGGGAAAGTATTCTTTAAGAATAGACTTTGGGCCGCTTTCTACAATAAATTGCACAAGCGGAATTTTGGAGCCCATGCTGGAAGTAGCTGGTGCAGATGAAAGTGAAGGAGGAGCATAAAGAGAGGACGAGATTGGAGAACTAGATCGCATCGGGGAGTGGCCTGATCTCATTCCAGGCGGGTGTGGTGACGGAGTAAAATATCTTGGTGGGCCAGGAGAAGATCCCGCCTTGGGTGGAACTGAGGGAGCGTTCGCCCCAACACCACCCGGCAATGTATGGGATGATGTTGTCATCAAGGTGAAAAATGCCAGTAGGGTTTGCAATTGATGTGATGCCTCCAAGTAAATGTAGACTAATTTAAAAAATTAACTGCATCCTCCGGGAATCGAACCCGGGTCTACCGCGTGGCAGGCGGCAATTATACCTCTAAACCAAGAATGCATACAAGGCGATCTCTGCTTATATTTATATTAATACATACAGCCTATTTCGAGGCCTTTATTTAAATTGTTTTCATGCCCTTGAATTCATTTGAATTCGATGCTCCAAAGTGGCATGACTTTTCAAGGCCCTCATTCATTCAAAAGCAAAAAATGTTGTTACAACTGCTAGATGCATCATGCTCCATAGTCTCGTCTGATTCGTATGCCTTTGAGGCCGATTTTGCAGAAATGTATTCGGAAAGTAGCTCGTGGTTTGAGGTACCACACCCTGAGCATGAGGAACTCGTATCTGGAATGGCTGATTGCAATTTAGACTCCAAAAATTTGGTCCGCATAAAATTGGGGCCACCATTGCGGAAGCTCCCTGTGGATCGTATCAGCAATGAGCTCTCTTTTACTGAAGATGTATCCTTTGGAAGTGAGTCGCCTGTATCGATGCATAAGACGACGTCTCTCAATGAAATTATGTCTTCTCCAGCATTCACGCCCATAAGGCCAAAGAGGCTTCGAACAACGCAGGGGATTTCTATGTCATCTCCAATTTCGTCAGGCTCCTCGTCAGCCTCGAAAACATTGTTTTATTCTCCGAAAAACATGCTTAATTGGATGTGCAATAGAGAGCATGAATATTCGTCTTCTTCGCGGTCACCAAGCACCTCGTCTTCCTTTCTATCAGACTCTTTCTTTTCAGCATCTCCGCAGCCTAAACTAAGCCCAAAGAGGACTCTTCGAGACGAATATTACGATAATGAGGGCGATACCAGCGCTGAGCATATTTATACAAATGGTGAAACCCCCATCACTCTAAACGACGAAAACGAAATCGACATGGCCCCTGTTTCTAAGCTCCTGCAGGCTTTTCTGGACAAAAGGCACCAGCAGCACCAGCATACAACAACATTCCCATGTTCGGGTTCCGAAAAATTGCCTACAAGCCCATCGCCGTCGCCAAATTTCAAAACATTACAAACAAATCCATGCTCACCGCCAGATAAATTAGAGAACATTTTCACACATCCAGTTGAACAAGGCAAGGCAAATAACAAGCAGGAAAATGCACCTATTCCTCATGTCGAGCCTGTCCCTCCAAAACAAACACTCTGTTTTGCGTCTATTCAGCAGCAACTTTTGAACAAAAAAAATGAGGATCCTTGCCATTCAAACAGGCAAAAAATAAACCCTCGGTGGAACCACGTCGGAGTGGCCTCAATAGCCCAGCAAAAAGCACATCCAGAAAAGACGCCAGACCAAATGGAAGAACTACTGTCAATATTAGCAGAGCATAACGCCAAAGTTCGCAACCCATGTGCTGCCATCAACATTCGGAATTTTTCTAGATAACCAAAAACTCCTTGGTGTGTTTCTTTATAAAAAGAGTAGCTAATCCTGCGTTGCGATATGCTGTAGATGGAACCAAATCAAACGAACCGAAAGGAGAGGAAGGGAAAGCAAATAAAATAAAATTTGATAATCGGGGTTTGATCAAACAGCCGTAAACCCCTGCTGATGCGGCACTTGAACTAATATGATCCCACGGGCTACATTTAAATGAACATATGGACGCAACGCATGGTGGTAAATTAGCAAATAAAATGCTGCAAATATGAGGCTGTTTTTGGAATTAAATAATTTTTTAACATGACAAGGCATTCCAAAAATAATACTTCAGCGTCCGTTTTTTCCTATTCAGAGCGATCGAAGCTTGCATATGGAACCATTGAGAGGCGACATACCCGAGACACAGTAAAAAAATTTGATGCTTGCTATTTATGTTTCTTAACAGCAATTGACCCGGTTTGCTGCAGTGAAGGGCATCTTTCATGTAGGGAATGCATTATATCTACGCTCCTTTCACAAAAAAACTCGTCCAAAGAACTAGCGAACAAAAAGGCTGCTCTGGAAAAAAGAGCTGCCGAATTGGATGCGGAAGAGGCTCGCAAAGACGCTCTTCAGAAAGAGCAAATGTTTATCCGTGCAACCGAAGGGAAAATCAACCCCCAACGAACAGACTCTTCTGGCATGGCTAACGCTTTAGCCTTGTCAAGCTCGTGTTCTTTTTGGATCCCTGAAAAGGCCCCGAATTTTTCTCTACTTGAAGGCGGAAAAGCCCTGAAAGCACCCCCAAGCAAGACAAGTTGTTTTGGCGGATTCTCTCCCCATTCAATCACGTTAAGGTCGTTAATAACCTTGAATTTTACCGCAAAAATATCCTCCTCCTCCTCCTCCTCCTCCTCCTCCTCGTCAAGTGATGAGGAAAAGATTTGTCCCATATGTCTTCGGTCTTTGAACAACAATTTTCAACTATTGGTCTTCAAGAGCTGTGGCCATGTCCTATGCAACGAGTGCGTTCACTTGTCTACTCCGGAACAGAAAAAATGCATCGCTTGTGGGGAAGATTCGTCGCAACTGATCCGCCTTTCGAAAGATGGAACCGGCTTTGCCTCCGGAGGCGGCCAGGTCCTAATCCGCAAATACGATCTGCCATTCCAATAGCATCTGGCGCCGTCAGATACTTCACTTAGAGCTGGCTCATCGGACCAGCGTTTCAGTATTGCTTGATTAAAATTTAATTATCACTGTACAGGCTGCCGCCCAATCGCGGTTTCATTGGTCCGACTTTTTCAATAACCTCAACTTGCAAACGAGCGAAGAGTCAAATAAAGCAAGCTCGTGGGGAAGCTCACCAGTGGGAACCAACGTGGCAAGTTCCTTTTTTAGTAGCGTGTACATTGCACCGGAGGTTTCAAAAAATTCTACATCAGAGGTCTCCACAACCTGAGTGATGCTTTTATTTATCGACTCCAAGGTGGATTCAACTATGCTTTGCCTACCAATAAATTGTCATCAAAATACCGTGGATCGTCCAAAGTCGTGGGAGAAAGCAAATTTTGCGACAGATCAGAGCCGGAATCCTCAATGTCAAATAAAGTGCTGCGGTTTTGAATATAGCCAAAGGCATCGTTTTTGAACAAATAGCGCAGAACCAAAAGCGGCTCAATCAATCCTTCTGTCGAAAAGACTTGGTATGATTCCTTGAGTTCGTTGTACATCACGGTGTTGATTATTGGAATGGGAATGTGGGTCTGAGATATAGATCCCTTCAGGGGCTCTGATTCTCTCAGCAAGTACAGGGCATAAACAACACCGGCACGTCCGCACGATGTAGGAGACACCAGAAAATACGAGAGGATCACGCTATAAATGTATTCCAGAAATAGATCCTTTGAATCTCTTTGAGTGCATATGTAATGAATTAACGAAAAGCCTCGCTCGTACCAAAGATCCCGAAACGTCTCCAATGATGTGGTATTTAAAGAAATGTATAGCAGAAACAAAGACCGAATATCCTGCTTGATCAGCTTCTTGTCAATTACAATCCCACCGAACGAAAAAAAAGACGGGCACGCAGAGGTACAACCGATCTCAAAATGCGACGTGCTGGGCGAGGAAATGGACATCAAAAACACGTGTAAAGTTGCTTTCAATTTGGGCCGATTAAATATCCGTTTATTGAGTTCAGTTGAATTGGGAACTCATATTGTGCACCAATCACGCTAGCCGCGCACTTTGGATGATCGATTAAACCTACTTTTGGGGACGCATTACTAATTTTACGATTGTTAATCATTTGAGTGTTTAAATCGATGCAAATTTACGGCCTGGATATTGGAGGAACCCTGATCAAGTTGGCCTTGTTTGGTAACGAAAATGCTGGGCCTTTGTGCGAAAATTTGACATTAAAAAAATTTCACACATCTTGTCTTGACGCTTCGCTTGAATTTATCATCGACGATGCCAGGAGAAAGAATTTCAGCGAAATTGTTATAAAAGCCACGGGCGGTGGATCATTCAAGCACGAAGGCTACATTAAAGATCTTTTCAAGCGCAATAACATTTGGTTGCACTTTATCTTGGTTAAGGAGATGGAATCCCTGCACAAAGGAGTCCTCTATTTAGCCAAAGTGGATCAACTTCCCCAACAAACGATCCTATATGCTAACATTGGCACCGGTGTTTCCATCCTCCACATTGATGGCGCTGAATTTTCTCGTGTAGGTGGATCCGGGATCGGAGGTGGCACCTTTTATGGTTTGTATCATGTCATGTGCAAGCTGGCCAGCATATTGCCTCTTGATTTTGATGAGGCCATCAATAAGGCTACGTTTGCGAATTGCCTTCATTCAAAGTTACACTTGACCGTTGGCGACATCTATGGAGCCGATCCTTTGATCAAGGATTTGGATCCTACTCTGATTGCAGGCTACTTTTCTGCATGCCCCCTGCTGAAAGATGCCCCCGACATCAATGCTCTGGCTGGTGGGCTGTTAATGCTAGTGTCTTATGCCATAATTTCGTGCGTCATTGAGCTGGCGAAAGAAACCAATCCCCAATTAATAGTGATAGGCGGCTCGTTCGTTGGAACAAACGGTTCGTTATTTTTACTTAGTTATGTAGAGACGATCAAAAATTTTATGCTGCAAGTTTTGGATTACAAGCGAATGCAGACCAAGGTGCATTTTTTTGATTTGGGCTCACACGTCGGCTGCCTTGGTGCAATGGCTTTGGATAATAAATTTTAAAATCAGATACAGACATTCAGCATGCAACGACACTTGTACGGTGCCACTTAGCCCGCCCGTCTGGGTATCATCATGGTAAAAAATACAAAAATGGGCCGTTGAATGCGTTTTTATAGCAATGTGTAAAGAGCGAATCCGCTTAAATTTTACATTTCAAACACTTGTTTATGGGAGCCAAGGCCAGATCCAAGTACACCTGGCCCATCTCCAATCTTTAGACGCACACTTGCTAAATTGTACAGCATGGCAGGGACAGGATACATGTATTATATTAAAAGACTCCGGTCTTCTCCTAAGCTTGCCGCCATAAAGTTCGATCCAATTGGTACTGCGTGGCGCTTATTTTTAGTAAATGCCAGAGTATTGTTTACGGAAAGCAAGCCGCCACCGCCACCAATGCCAGGCTCGGGGAAAAGTCATTAATAAATAAACATTTTATAAAAACGTAAAATTACACAGGCAAGTATGGCTTTTCCTTTGGAGGCGTGAATTTTTGCAGCTTCTTCAGGCTCTTTTCGGCAGCCTTTTTTGCCGATGATTCGGATTTCGAGCTTTTGTGTTTTTTGTCGTGCTTTCTATTTTTTGGCTTCAAGAAATACTCTCCCGACTCAAGTAGCAAATCTTCCTTCCGCGGCAACTGCGGCGGAGGAAAAGGTGTGTATTCCTTTTCATTCTTTGTCCTTTTGCTCTTGCTCGGCCTTTTATCTTTCTCGTTGTCGCCTCGTTTTTTGTCGCTAGCACCCATGTTTAAAAATGGAATTCCTTTTGATTCTTCGCCTTTTGTGTGTCCAAAGGCCGCTTGCGCAGCGTGTGTCGCCATGGCAGAATCAAATGCGCCGCCTGAAGCCTTACCAAATGGTGCAGGGGAATTTGCAGCTTGAAGATTTTTCTTATATTTAGGGAGGAATCTATCCCAGTTTTCGGTTTTGAGCCGCTCATCTTTTGATAGCTCCCTCTTAATCATGAGGATCTTTATGTGGTAAATTGGATGTACATTTTTCATGCAATCCAAGACTATTCTTCGGACCTCTTTTAGCCCCTTAATATCGCCAATCGCAGACACTGTATTTCCTTGTACCAAGATGAAGCATTTGGTCAATAGCTCGATCGCCTACAATAAAGGAGCAAAATTTGTACCTTAAGTGTGGATCCGTTGACACCGACAAGTCGCATTCTACGCTTGACAAATCGCTGCTTATTTCGGAGAATATTACCAATCTTAATAATGTCCATCGTTGTTCCGTCCTCCAGTACACGAATGGCTGCAGGAAGCTGCACGCTTCGTGCCAGGAGTTTGAGAACATCTCTGGCCTTGATGATGATATATGGGTCGTGCATCTTTCGAGTGGTTTTGACGCTCATGGATCCTTGAATAAGATCCAAAAGGCAAGAAACGCCAACATTGTCTAAAATCTTGGTTAGCTGTGGCCAAATTTCGCGGAGATAAGTTTCGCGGTACTTTGGGAATAGAATGACAAATGATGACTCTTCTAAAACGTGGCCAGACGAATGTTCCGGAAGAAAAGGCTCGATCTTCCAATGGTCAATGTCATCTGTGTCCCACGGCTTATCTTTGCGAAACAATTTTTTTTTTGGAACACTTGGCGCAGATTCGGAGACACTCATTGAATACAAAATAAAAATAAAACCAAAAAATTCAATTTAAATTAATTTATGATTTATTTTGCAAATGTCAATTTTCTTTCCCGTTTCTGCGATTAGACAACCCCACTCTCAATTTGCCGCTTCTGCCATTAGACAGACCCACTCTAAAGTATGTATTATAGGTAGCGGACCTTCTGGATTTTATACGGCTCTTAGGCTCCTGAGAAGATCTAAAGAAATCCATATTGATATCTTAGAGGCCAGAAGAGAGCCTTTTGGACTTATTAGATATGGGGTTGCCCCAGATCATCCAGAGGTCAAAAAATGCGCAACAAAGTTCGACGAATTGCTTTCAGAAAATTCGGATAGGATCTCTTGGTATGGGGGAGTTTCCTTGGGAAAAGACGTTCAGCTTGACGAGCTTATGGCCTCTTATGGTGCCGTTGTTCTGGCCATTGGTGCCCAATTAGAAAATAGATTACACGTCCCAGGAGAAGAGCTGGCAACTTCCAGCAAGACTTTTACCCATTGGATGAATGGCGCAAACTTTGGACCTTCGCTTTCGTTTGATAAAAGTTATGGAAAATCCTCAAGGTGTGCTCTGGTAATCGGAAATGGAAATGTAGCCCTGGATACTGCCAGAAGCCTAGTGGGTGATCCTCAAAGATTTTCGGGAACAAATATAGGCACTTCTGCCATGAAGGAATTGTGCTCAAGTACCATCAGAGATGTCGCCATAATTGGGCGGCGTGGACCATTACAGGCGTCATTTGCAGCTAAAGAGCTGAGAGAGATATTCAATCTTTGCCGCCACGAGAAAGTGGGCCTTTTCACCAATGTTGACATTCAGTACGAAAACCATAGCCCGGTTACACGCTCCCAATCCATTCTGATAGACGGCTTGACCAAGGCCACTTTTTTGGAAGATTTATCGCATCGTTGGCCTCCCCTGGAAAGGGAAAATAGCAACAGTAGATCGCTGTCCTTCTTTTTCAATCTTTCGCCTACAAAGTTCATTAAGAATCAAACGGATTCGTCTTTACTTGCAACTGAGGTTGCAAAAAACACAGTTCTCCCGGACGGATCTATTGGTACCCACCATGCGGAAAATGGCACACCTTCCTCGATATCGTTGACAACCTTGCCTTCGGCATTGGCGGTAACCTGTCTTGGTTATGGCGTCGGTCCTATTCCAGGTGCGGAGAACTTTGCACGAACTAAACCAAGAGGCCCATTAGTCCACAAAAAGGGATGTGTTAATCAGGACATGGGGCTGTTCGTCGCAGGATGGACCAAGACCGGACCCGCAGGCGCTCTTGCCTCCACAATGCTAGATGCCTATGAAACGGCCGATTGTATAGTGTCTAATCTGCCTCGTTTGAAAGAAACGAAAAACACTGGAGATTGCAATTGGCTCCGCCAAGTGTTATGCGAAAGAAATATACCATGGGTTTCATATAGAGATTGGGCAGGGACCCCAGAAGCTTCTAAAATTTAAGGATTGTTAATTATATAAACGAATTTTTCAACCCTTTTCAGAGTAAAATGGTATTTTTTATCAAGCTATCCATTAGCATGGCGTAAAAAGAGAAACCATATCGGAGTATTGTTTGAAAGAAATAGAAACGGCAAACTTGTTGCAAAAGGCACAACTTGCCTTTCAGCAAGCCAGCAGCAGAAAGTCAAGCTTGCAAGAAGTATTGAATGCGTGTAGAAAGGTTCTGGTGTTGCAGCCTGATGATCTCAATTGTTGGCACGCTCGTAAACGTGCATTGATTAATGCGTATATTTCGGATTTGCATTGTTCGGAAATCTTTGATCAAAATGCAATCATGCATTTGGGGATTGATGCCAGAAACAAAGAGCTGGAAATGTCGTATTTGTGCCTAAAAAAGAATCCAAAGTCATACCCTTCTTGGCATCACCGCCAATGGGCACTTTCGGCGCTTTCGATGGGAGGGCATCGTCCTGTTTCTGGCCGCTCAGCAATTGATGTCGAATGGAACAATGAAATCCGTCTTTTGAAAAAGCTACTGGCAGTAGATGGGAGAAATTGTAGTTTTCACATTTATTGATTGGCTAATTTTTAGTTCATGCATGGAAGTACTTGCATTGGGTTTGCGGCCAAATTGACGCAAAGACTCTTTTTGATGCACAAATTAGCAGCCCATCCTATCCACCCGCCAGATCGGGCTCTAAAATTTTTGCCTGCATCATAAACGAGTGTCTTGGTGTGAACTTTTCTAATTATTCAGCATGGCACTATCTTTGTAGACAACATCCAAATAAAGAAAAGATATTAGAGCAATCTAGGAATGCCGTTTTTACTTCACCGTTTGACCAGTCTGCATGGTTCGCTTATAACAGCATATTGAAGACAGTCAGCCATGAAGACATCAAACTAGAAATAGAACTTCTAGAGGAGCTGCGAAAGGAGGAGCCAAGGTGTCCCTATTTGCTTCTAACTCTCGTTGGTGCCTCCAATCTGCTTCATGACCACAGGTATGGGGCAGAATATAAAAGTTCTCTTTTTTCTTCGCTTAAAGAAATCGACCCCATGCGAGTAGGAATGTATGCCCATCTTTCTGCTGGACAATAAAACCGGAAATACAAACCGCTGTTTGGATACCTTAAATTTCTTTATTTGTTAGTTGAGTTTCGAGTCTCTTTAGTGTACAAAAAAGCGCCATAGGTGGCGATGAAAGGACGTCAGTAAAGCAATATGGCGCTCCGGTAAGAAGCGAAACAAGCTCTAAATGTAAAGGTTCTTTTGAGCCTGGAAGCTTTTGAAATAAGTCATTCAGACCTTCGTGTGTAAAAAGAGTTTCCTCAAACCGACCTCCAAGTACGGCAACAAATGGCTCCGCTTTAAGTGCAAGAAGAGTAGACCTCGCTTTCAAAGGGTTCGTTTCATTGCCATATGCAACAAACGTAGGCCCAGCAATCCAAGATAAATCCTGCTCCTTCGTTTTTGGCGAATCATTCCAAAGAGCCTTGGTGAGAATTGCAGGCGGAATCATTTTGATTTTGAAGGCAGATATTTCGTTTATTTTCAATTTGAGCTTGTGTAGAGCGACAGAGGATATTGAAATATTTTGCATGATAAACAAATGCCTGCATGATACAGCCTCAATGGCGTCAGCTTGAGCTATTCTTACTTTGGCGGGCAGAGGAAGGACTTCCGGTGGTTTTGGGGCATCTGGTGGTCGAAGAGCTGAAAATGGTCCCTGTCTGAATTCCATTATTTTCTTCAGCGGTGCAAGGCGAGCACGTGTTCCAAACCATCGCCAATGGAAAGCCTGGCCTATTTCCATGTTTAAGAAATTGTGGAAATGGCCTGTAAAAATAAAATAAAATAAAATAAATTAATCTCCTAATGTAAAATTAAATTTATTCCTACTTCATAAATGGCACCGCGTGCTGATCCAAGCCAGAAAGTTCTATGTAAGTTATTCATCCATCTGATATATTTGCCTGTGTCCCAAACCTATGAATCCTAATACTCAATAGTGAATCTTCGTGTTGTTGGTGGCGAGCCTGCTGGCTCTTCGCTTGCCCAGAAGGTCGGACCATTGGGTCTACCTGCCAAAAAGGTCTCTGAGGATATTGCAAAGGCCACATTGGAATATAAGGGTCTTCGTGTAGGTGTAAGACTTACCATTCAGAACCGTCAAGCTTCAATAGAGGTTATTCCTTCTTCTGCCACCATGATCATCAAAGGACTCAAGGAGCCCGCCCGTGACCGAAAGAAAGAGAAGAATATCAAGCACCACGGAAACCTTACTTTTGACCAAATAATTTCAATTGCTCGCAGCACTCGTCCAAGGTCTCTAGCCAAGTCTATTTCAGGCACTGTCTGCGAGATCCTTGGAACCTGCTCCTCCATGGGATGCTCAATCGATGGAATCAGTCCACGTGCCATGATTGAAAAAATTTCTGAAGGCGAGATCGAAGTTCCCGCTAATTAAGACGATAAATGTATTTATCTTCATCGTGATATGATTTATATTTTCGCGTGTGACATCATTTTAACTTGGCTTTATCTACGTTAATTTAGTTGCTAAATTCTCTTGAGGACATATAGGGCCCAACTTCCAGTCGTCAGCAGGACCATGGAGCCAGCCTGATGCATTGCGGCCAGTGGGACTGGGACGATCCAAAGTAGTGTAAATATCCCGAGCCCCACTTGAGCCATACCGGCCCCCATGAGTAAGTTTAATGCCCTTGAAATGATCCTTTTACTTGACGGGGTTTCCATTAATGGGAGAAGCCTACGGCGAGCATATAGCCACACGAAGGATATATAAGAGATTGAAGAGATTGCCAGCGCTCGATGAAAAAACTGCACAAAAGTTGGGTTGTTTAAGGGCAGCATGTTGGGGACAAACAAATCGTCCGGTATCCATTGAAGCCCCATTTTTGGGAATGTGTTGTAAATCAATCCGGCGTCCAAACCAGCAACGAACGCACCAGATATCGCGGTTATGCCAACGAGATGTACGATGCCATTAAGCTTTGCATAAAGATCCTTAATACGTGGTCTAATGCTCTGGCTGCTTTCCATCATTATTGAGGGATTGAGAAGCGAAAGGCCGGTTCGGAGCATTAGCAGGTATATTGCAAACGCCGTAGTCAGATGAGCTGCCAATCTATAATGCGAGACGCGAGGTGCTGCTTTTTTCTCGATAATTTCGGGATCAAGTCCACTTTTAACCATATACCAGCCAAGGAACCCCTAGATACATATAACTGGAAAGAAATACTTGAAATAAAATCAAAGAGCCAATAATTGTAAGAGAAATCTTTGTTGATTTTGAAAGGCTTTTTCTCCTTGTCAAAATGAAGTAGGTCAGCGGAAACAAAAACGCAGCTCCAATCAAACGGCCAAGCATCCTGTGACTGTATTCCATGTAATATATTTTTTTGAACTCTCCAAGAGAAATGCCGTCGTTTAAACTGCAGATAAATCAAGAAGCACTTACAGGATATATTCTGGAGATTGCTTATATTTCTCAAAATAAGAGTGCCATTCTTCTTCAGATGATGGGGGTTTAAAGTGCAACAAAGACCAATCAACCATGGAAAGCCCAGACTCGGTCAAGCGAGTAATGCCGCCAACTACCACAACGCCAAAGACAAGTCCGGCACAAACGAAAAGCCAATATGCCATTGGACGATTTGAAGACGATTTTTTTGTGGAAATGTCGCCAATTGGGGCGAAATTGCTGTTCTCCAATGGAACGGATATGGAATAGGGATTGAAAATCCCGTTTGTATAAAATCCCAGTGTATAGGATTTCTTTGTATAGGATTCCTTTGTATAAAATCCATTTGTATAAAAAAGGGGGGAGATGCTTGATCTCTTGAAAACAGACCCCCCACGATTGGAAAATAAGGAAAATGAGCTTTTTGGGAACAACCTAGTCATTTTATGAACGTTGAAGTTTAAAATTTAATAATCCAAGATTGGACTCGATATCATTCGATTGAAGGGCTTGAAAAATAACCCTTACCCTACATGATACTGATGAGGTTTCCTTACATATGTCCCTGCCAGGATCTCTTGAGAATCTTGGTATATCGATTCGTAAATTTTTGGCCTGTCTTGAGCGCTAAAAATGACGGGAGATCACATGATATACAAGGAGAGAACATATCATGTTATGAGAAAGCAGCATATCTGTGTATAAAATCGCCGAATGCAGCCTTGCGCAAGGAAAGTTCATTTTTGTYTTTTCTTTTGAACAAAAGAAACATTGGTAGARTCTGCGCCTAATCCTAAAAATCCTGGACGTATTTTTCTAATGGTGGAACGGGATGAGTTGGGTTGTGGCGAAACATCGGGATCCCAGCCCATTCCGCGCAAAATTGCAGCTCCAAAGTCGGATACGGGCATCTCTTCATAATCATCCATGGTTGTATTTGACAAAGAATACAAATCTTCATCTTTTGGAGGCTTGACAAAAAGGGGCGTCCTACGTTGCTTGACCGGATCTTCTTTTGGCTGGACATTAGGTATCAAAAGCCCATATTTTGAGCCGTTATTCGATAGATCAGGAGATGTGCCTGAAGCCACATACTTGACACAAGGATTTGGAGAAGACTCTTTAACAGGAGCGGCTCCGTTTGGTGAACGGGGCAACGGAATGACCTTTCTTAATGGGTCTAAAAGAGGTTTTTGTAAATCAGACAAGTCCGAGATGCTTGCCGTTATTTCGGTAGATTTTTCCTTTTCTTTGTTTTTCTTATCGTCTAAGAAGGCAGGGGCCGTTGAGCGTTTTGATGCAGATGACAACGACGATGAAGAAAGGGAGAACTGGATCTTTTTCTTTTCCATAAGTAAATAAACAAATAATTAAATAAATTTGCGAGCTTTTATTTTGGCTACAAGAGCTTTTTAAATTGTGCCAGGCACTGGAAGGGGACAATTGAATTAAAATCTACATGTGTGCATATTTATTTTGTGCGGCAAGATTAATTTTCCGACCCCTTTACTTTCTATAATGATCCATTCGCTTTCTCTGGAAAAGGTTGATTTTGTTTCACTGTCAGAGGAGTTTCCAGCACTTAAGAAATAGTATTTGAGTATTTTTTACATAGTATGACAAAAGGGTACTTTAATATGAGGCTTCCACACGCTGCCAAGTTTGTTGCATATACTTTCACATAAATAGAGCGTTGAACTCTTCACTATTGCAGAAATATTTCAGCCTTGACATCCTTATTCCAGATGGCCATCTCTGCCCGCAAGTACTTTGATGCCTTTGTTTTAAAATTAGGTTGCCAACAGGTAGGAAGCGGTGAATTTATTGGAGATTGTCCTATTTGGAATGGATCGAGGCCACCTTGCTTTCGCTAAATAAATATCTCCTCGGTGGAGCTACTGGAAAGCTTGGCACTCCCATTTCTTTGACAGAAGAGCTCTGTGGCATTGATATGTGAGCACCGGCAATTATCACCCTTAGAGGAACAGGATCCTCGTGTATTTATCCTCTTTTGAGGGCTTGTAGGCGGCCATCATGGAAATGGATAGCTACTGGTATTTTCCAGCTTTTTTAATAGTTGTACATTAGAGTTGGATCCATTTGCTTATAAGCATGCGCAGGAAAACATTGAAAGAAACAACTACACGTCAAAAATTCACCTACTATTGTCACCGGGAAGAGATTGCTTTTTTGAGCCAGTTTATGATTTCGTTAGCAACGAGGAGCATCGATTGCTTACATTCACCATGTGCAATCCTCCGTTTTACAAGTCCGAGCTGGATCGAAGCGAACGAATACAAGCCAAAAATACCGCATTTGGCGTCACCTGTTTCCAAAAAGGCTCGGATTCGGAATCATTTACAGAGGGAGGAGAGTATGAGTTTGTTTCAAAAATGATCAATGATTCCCGCAAATATTGCACCAAAATATTGTAAGGCCGCCTGTATGTTCCCATGCTGTAGGATTTTCACTTCCCTGATCGGGATCAAATCAAACTTCGAAAGGCTAAAGCTTGATCTCAGCACCCAGCAAGATGTTGAGGAATTCATTTAATTTCATCGTAGATACTATGGCTTAATTGGACTACACTCCGACAAGGGAATGTGGCAAGATGGATACTGGCTTGGAGCTTTTTTCCATTGAGCGAAGAAAAATACAAGCTACCTTCGCATGTGATTTGTATTAAAAGGGAGGCCTTGCGAGATTTGCTACAAAAGCCCCCATATTGCTTTTCGGTGATTTGCCTCGATAGCAATATGATGCAAGTCACGGTGCCTCAATCAAAAATGCATTGCTGGACAAGATCCGCCAGACGAGCAAAGCGGGCATATAGCCTGGTCGACCAATGTGATGAGGGGTTCCATTTTTGGATCCTAGACGACGATATTAACGCGCTTTCTATATGTTTGTTGCCGAAGCAATTTTCACACACAAGCGAGCATGTCTTTACATCGCTGTGTAACCATCTTCAAAAGATTATTGTCTACTTATGATGGTCTAGTTGGGATGCTTTTAATTTTGGAAACAATAATTAGCAGGCACCGGGTTGATTGGACCAGAATACGAGCGCTCTGTTTTGATGGAAATCTTTTTTTCGCTCGGAATGGACGTGAACGTGAACAGGATTTTGTGTCCGCACGTATTTAATAAACATTCTTGATGGATCCACTTTAGCGCATCATACAAAAACTGCATGCACACATGCGGGCTCTATATGAAAAGCATTGGAACACTACCCAAGGCGTTTGTAACTTATGCTTGGCCATTGAGGGGATATCTTCAGTTTTGATGAAAGACGTAGAGACTACATTGAGATTACGGTCTTTGTGGCCAAGATAAATCAGAGGCGTATCAACGAGGAAAGCTTGCGCCCAAAACTTTAGCAATCGAGACCTGGCGCGTCACAAAAACAAAACTACCTAAAAAAGCTTTCGCTGTTCAAGATATGCTTGTTGATGGTCTTCAATTCAATGAAGCTATTCAGTGGCAAGCGCTCCAAATCGGCAAGCGATTCAGGCCACACGCAATCCATCTCTGCACCGTAACATAGCGTCAGATCTTCCCCAAGATCTCTCCTGATGACAGCACCGAATTCGGAGACCGGATCCACTGCATTTTGCAATCGAAGGTTTAGAAAATTGGTTTCGGCTCGCCCTAAACATTGCAGGGCCTCGTATTCGTCAACATCAAGCGTACAAATGGTTTCAAATTTTTTTCCTCCATACACGGCAAGCAGTAGTTTTTCATCTGCCATGCATGGGTCGGCCGATTTCTGCTCGACAATAAAGATGCAATTTTGCGAATGGTTCATCGACACGACAAGTGAAATTGTGTCTTTTTCATAAGGCAGAATCATCAGCTTTGACAAAATGCCCCTCCATGTAAAGATCAGAAGCTTTTTGTACGAATCAAGTCTCAAGGCAGGGAATATGGACTCCACATCCCCCTTTGCCGATTTGCTTAGGGCCAAAAAGACATTGTCCAAAGGTGTATACAGCCTTTCTTTTCTGATAAAGTCCTTTCCAAAGTTATGAGTGAGCGAGTAGCTGGTGCACGGCGAGGATGAAGGATCGGCCAGCGGAAAGAATATTCTCTACACCAATTAGAACCTAAAATACAAGTTTCGAGCAGTCGTGTTGAAAATGGCCATGCTCATCAATGCTGTAATATGCGAGCGGAGTAGAAAAAGGCGCCAATTTTGACTTTGTTTCCGAGTGATCATTTATCGTTTTAATAGTGCATGTGGACATGAGGGCGCGGCGCGGCGGAGTGCAGGGAAAATTTGAGCCGATTTTACAACTTTATAATAAACTATGCGCTTGATGGTGGCCGCCATGATGATGATGAGCGCGCAACATTGGTGATCACCAAGGGCCCCACGGCATCGATCAGCATCAAAAGTCGCATGGCATTGATGATGCCTGTGCGGGAAGAGTTAGGAGCTATAGTCGACATCGCTTGCATGTTCATTGCGAATATCAACAAGAGAGTTATAGTGTTCCCCGAGGCCGTGTGAATAGCGATGATACCTACGGTCAGCTATTAGATGCGTTACGACAGCAACAGGGGCGGTGTATTTTCGGTCGACTGATATTTTTCGCCAATTTTGAGCACAGGGCACGATGCTTGGTACACCCAAATCGGGACACGGTGGTACTCCGAAAGGGCAACGATTTCCTGCTCCCCACCCCATTCTGCTGTATCGGCCACACGCTTACAATGCTGAACGAGGTTTTCTAAAACATCACAATATGCAGTGCTACCGAGAGTGTTTTCTTCCACGCCCTCGTCATCGGCCAGGAAATACGGCAAAAACGAATCGGCGTTGTTTTGGATAAAAGAGGACGACATTTTCCTAAGCTCGCCAATCGAAAATGTCTACTTGCTTAGTTAACGACCAAGCAACCTTCGAATGCCGCGTGTAAAATTGGTGAGAAATTGCAGAAAAAAGGCAATGCCCATCGGCGGGCATTTCTTGGATCTCAAGGTTCGCTGAGCACAGGATGTTTCCAAGTTTTTTCTCCTCTTCCTCGGACGCCTTTGGATGCCAAATGAGAGGGGTTTCGGGAAACCCCTTTTCGGGGGCTCTGCTTCGATTCCTTGATCTAGCTTTGGCATTTGAGGGCGCTTCAGGCATGCTGCAACGTGTTTCTGATAGCATTTTTGCCTTAAGGCACGAAAGCTCCTCAATTTGCTGTCGCAGTTGCTTTTTATGCGCCTTGGGCGCCGAGTTCATTTTCAATTTCAAAGCCTGGATTTTGGCCTGCATGTCCTTTGGCTTTGTCAAATCTCCAAGGCAAGCAGCGTTCATTTGATTTAAAAAATTAAATTATTTTTTGCCATGTCGGTTAAACTCTCCAGATCGGTCCTTTTGGTTTCGAGCCATTCGCTGCTGGTGCCTTCAAGTACAAAGTTTTGCCGATCCCTCTTGTTCATAAAAAGACACTATTCCAGCGAGCTGCCTTCCAACAGTGATATGATGGGGGCCCCCCCAACGGCATTCTCGACCCGAGGAGACCTTGATTTTTCTCAAGTATTGGATGCTCCTATGACAATTCAGTCGTTTGGTGGAGTTTCACCTGTCGGAATGATGGAAAATGTCCTTGGCCTTCTTCATTACAATGCTGGCCTTCCCTGGTGGCTAAGCATAATATCGATCGGGGTTGTTGTAAAGACCGTTTCACTGCCGTTCTTCATCCAGAACCAGAGAACCACAGCCCTTTCTCAATACCACAAAACTAAAATTTCAGCATGGAATGACAAGATCCAAAATCTGGATAACAAGGGGCAAAGGGCAGCATATATGTCCGAAAGACAGGAATTGGCAAAATGGCGCACAGAAAATGGCTTCCCTTCTGGCTTGGCAAGCTTTCGAAATGCAGGGGCAATTATTTTGATCTCCATCTCTGCTTTTCTAGCTGTCCAGCATTTGTGCTCTAACGAAAGTCTGGTTTCTCTTTCAGCCGAGCGGCTTGGGTGGATCGTCCTCTCAAAGCCAGACCCAACCCTGATGCTTCCTTTGCTTTCCACGGTTCTTTTAATTGCAAACATCAGCCTCTCATTTGCCGTTGGTGGCAACGGCGCACTTTCGACGCTTCCTTTTGGAATGAAGGCCTTTTTGTATGCATTGACATTTAGCTCGGTTCTTTTCACTAAGGAGATGAATTCCGGGCTTCTTCTCTATTTTACGACGGCAAATGTTTTAAACATCCTCCAAACGCTGCTGATTCGCATTCCCGCTATTCGAAAGCGGCTTAACCTTATTCCCTTGGCTTCGATCAATGAAAAGAATTTGGCCTCCTTTTATGCAGCAAGAAAGCCATCCCCATTTGCCAACATTTTCCGCCAAAGAATGGACGCTGCGCGCTACAAAAACGAAAGCCGCCAAGAAATGGTGCGGCCAGCGCCTCCAAAGCAAATCATAAACCTTGAAAGACTTGTTGTTCCCACAAAAGAGGGCTTTAATTTTAAATAAATTTAATGGAAATTGTACATCTAAATGGTGGACAGCCGCTTTTCGAACGATTTTATCGTCAATTGGGCCATTTTGGAGAAAATGGGATAAAGGGTCGTTCCGTACACGGAGTTGGCAAATTCAAATTCCACGCGAAAATCGACAAGCGTCTCGCTGTCCGAGTTCGGCGTGAATTGCCACCGAGTGTGCAAGTTGTTGAAAATGGTCGAATTCAAACACTTGGCCTAGGGTCAATTAAGTCCGCAGCAAGATGGGATACCTCTATTGACTGGTAAGGGATACCTATGACCCTCGAAATATAGCGCAGCTGGATGGCGATCACATCTATTTGCAGCTCTGCAAACGTAACTGTCGGAACAGGATTGGTTTGGCCAATGATGGACGAGCATGAGGGATTGTCCGAAATGTTGCTAAACGAAATTATCCTGGACCGCTTGATACCGGGTATGAACTCGGAATATTTCTGCACATCAGAAACGCACGAATACACCTTGAGGATGTTGTGAGGAAGCACGTGTTGCTGAGAAAAGCTGGAATGAAGGCCTTTGGTAATTATATTCCCAGAGGCGGACATTAATTTTAAAAATTTTATGGCCATCTGCATTAGACGCTGTACCATTGACGATGTTCTTGACCTGCAAGAGTGCAATCTTATATGTCTTCCCGAAAACTACCAAATTAAATATTACATGTACCACCTAATTGCTTGGCCACAACTCTCATACATTGCCTTAACCAGCGACGGCAAAATTGCCGGCTACGTCATGGGAAAGCTGTAAGTTTTTGTTTGTTTTTCTTAGCGAGGAAGACGACCCAAATAAAGTGACCGGCCATTTTACATCCATTGCAGTTAAAAGAGAATACCGGCGATTGGGGATCGCCGAAAAGTTGCTTCACCAGTCCCTCAACGCCATGGCCAGCATATACAAAGTGGAGAGCATATCCCTCCACGTGCGGCAGTCAAATGTTGCTGCCATCTCGCTCTACTCCAAGAAGCTTGGATTTGAGATTTCTGAGCACGAGCCACAGTATTATGCAGATGGCGAAGATTCCTACCTCATGAAAAGAGTATTTTCATACACCCAATAGTTATAAATTTATTTAGAAAACGCCAAATAGCGTAGAGTAGAGCAGTGTAGTGTAATGTGATGTGATGTAATGTAATGTAATGTAGCGTTGTTGGGACGAGTTGTTCTCGCTCCCAGATTCCAAGTATGTGCAAGAGCTACATGAAGGGCGCCCATCCAACGTACATCCGACACAGGTTCTCAATCGATGTGGACTCTTTGATGAGCTCAGAAACTTGCCCCTCAATGGAGAGGCTTAAAATCTCTTCTGAAAACGAAAATCCAGACTTTGGAATGTTTCCAACTATCCCCCGCACCTTACACTCGATGGAGTGAAGGATTCTGCGAGCCTCTGCGCTGTCGTTTTCAGAATTGAGCTTTGATGGCTTTCCACTCCACTCGATGATGGGATCGTACACGAAGGTTTCAAGATTTCGCAAAAGAAAAGTTCGGTTTGTCCTTATGATTTGAAGCACAATTGAACAGCATCTTTTAAAGGAGCCCTCTGTTTGGGGAATGCCCATCGCATCGACCATGTTGTGAGTGAGTCTGAACGGGACCACTTCGGGCTTGGCAAATGCAAGGCCCTTGTCAAAAAGGCAGTTAAAGTCAACATGCACGATTTCTCCAGACACGGCGTCCAAAAGGATATTTTCGCCATGCCGATCTCCAAGCCCAATAATCCATCCAACAATACTCATAATTGCCAGGGTTTGTGTGTATTTTAGGCGAGATACCAGCCATTGATGAGGATCGCTCCACGTAAAGTAGAACCACTCGAAAAATACTTTTGGAAAAAGGGGCAGAAAATGGTCGCAAAAGATATCCCTCTCCGGTTTCTTTAGCGCCGCGATTTCTTTGAGCCGCTTTGGAGGCACCAGCATCTTTTTGGACTCATAAATGCCGTTCAAAATAGAGCGGTATGTGGTGGTGTGAGGAACCCATTCTATCAGCCCGCATTCGTCATTTAGCGGGACAGCAGCATAAGGCCGCACGGTGAGTTTTCTCTTTGAAGACTCGGCATTGCTGGACAAAAGATCGCCAATGGACATCAAATATTCCATGAACCGAGAATCTTTTCTCAAGTCATCCTTTGGCTTGCACAAAAAAATGTATGGATTTCCATTGCATGCGTAAAAGGTAAGTTTCTTTGGCCTTTGCAGGGACAGCATGATTTCGATTTTATCCTGCATATCGACAATTAAAAGCGAATCATCAAACTTGAACTTCAAACAATGGAGATTCGGAAGCTGGATGTTAACGGGAAACAATTTCTTCAAAAACTTAAAGTCCTTTTGAAGGGATGCTGATGTAGCCGTAACCTGGGCATTGCAAAGATGTATTAGCGCCTCGGTAAAGTTAATCCCGGTATCCACCAATGAGATCATTCCGGGAAAGACTTTTGCCGATTGTAAAATGTCATTTGCTCTGGAGGCCCTCAGCGGGTGAGAAGACCTGCTAACGCTGAGCAAGTTCCAAAGAACCGTATGCGGATAGTCCTTAAACAGAAGCAGTATGCATTTTGATATCAAATCGGAGACACATTGGCGCTCATGACAAATGCGGCTAATTAAATGCGTAAACTGGCTGCAAAATTGAGCCGGCGTTATGCGTTCAAACAATCTGATCACCACCTTATGGATGGACGAAAATAGCGCTTCATTTTTCACATTGAGCCAAAAAGAGAGCAACTTGGGAAAAGATTCGTTGGTCAAGCTTTTTCCGATGATTACGACACGCGCGAAATTCTTCATCGCATTTAGTATCCATTCAATTTCTTCCCGAGAGCAGTCGCTTTGGTTGTATTTAAAATTCGAAAACAAACGCAACTGGAAGTTTGCCAAGGCATAGTAGTTTTTTTCGTTTTTAGGGGAAAGCTGAATGGCCTCATTAAAGATCGGCAGAAGGTCATTTAGGTTGTAGGATTGGCTTGATAATTTCCATTGCGAGAGCCGTCGCCTTAGCTTGCTCTGCTGATTCCTTTCAAACTCATCGGTTTGCGATATCTTTTCAAAAGGTAGCGTGAGTTTTTGAAGCGAGTGCACAGCAGCCTCGGTCAGCTCTCTGTCCCACAAATATTTACATTGGTGATACAGCATTTGGGTTGCCTTTGGATAGATGGGCAGGCCGCACTTATTGTCGCTCACCTTTGCTTTTTCAAAGATATACCTAAACATATTGTGCAGCTTTAGGCTCCTCGTTAGCTTTAAAGATTTGATGGTGTACGGAATCAGGGTCGAAGAATTGAAGAGCATTGATGCCAAGTAGTGGAAAAACAGGATTTTTTCCGAATTTTCGCATATCAACAGCGGAGAACTAATGTGTCCATATGTTTTGAGCAGCAAAGGAAGCTCTGCGTTTACGGAAAAAGTAAATAGCAAGTTGAAAAAGTTCAAGTTATTGAATCGGACCGAATGCAGAACCTGGTTATTCTCAAGCTCAATGATCAGCGATTTGGAGAAAGAATTCAAAATGGACTTTGTGTCTGAAAGCTTTGAAAGCGCAGAGTTGAACAGCGAGGGAATGAATTGCGTCGAACACGAACCCATTTCCAACTTCAACGGAACGTTCCAAGTTTGCAGTTTCCACGCAGCGGCAGCATATGCATCCCAAATAAACAGGGGAATCCAAGAATCCTTTGCCTGATGACAATACGAGTCCAGAAAGCAAAATGCGGACGAATATTGGTCCTGCTTGAGGTGCTTAAGGGCAATTTCATAGGCCAGAAAGTGCTTTTGCTCATTATCCTTCAAGCTTGCCTCTTGAAGCACAAGCATATCTGAGTCTTCTGAGGAAACCGGAAATAATGTGTCATAAATGCACTGGGAAGAAAACCATGCGGCGTCATCGGGAATGTCCAATTCTTTGTAAGTGTTTTTCAAATATTTAGAGGAAAAGATGCAATTTGCGCTTTCATTGTGCCTGTGTGCAAGCTCGAAAAAGTACGAGGCCTTGATAAAGTCGTTTGTTTTGTAAAAATATTTTGCCAAATCAAGCCTGGGTACAAAAGGGCTTTTGGAGATATACTCAACAAAGTCAACACACGATRCAATGCAAAGGCTTGTAAAGTAATACTGAACGACAGGAAACAGAGC